TAATTCATATAAATATAAATACATTCATATAAAATTTAGAATATATTTAATTCTAGAATCTATTTAATCAGAAATCTATCACAATTTAAAATATGATCAAATATTTTTAGAAAGACAACTCATAATATTCAAAAATATATATACACGTTAAATAAAGAGTTTTATTCAGCTATTGTGAATACAAATTAAACAAGAGTCAAGCTAAGAAATAATTTATTCCAGCATACAGTCAAACTTTTTATAATTAATTAATTTTTTGATGGCTTAAAGAATTTTTAAAATCTAATATTAGTGCATAGACTGTAACATTAAATATTTGTTTCAAAAACCTCTTACTTGAGCTGCTTTCTTAAAAAATATATATATATAACAATAAATTGAAAATTATAGGAAATATTTAACAGCAAAGTTTCCTGAAATAGAAAGAAATATTGTTATCCCTTTCATGAGGGCAATGATTTTCGGACGCTAGCTCGAATCGTAGTTATTAATTTTTAGATGGTTTTATTTTCATCAATGAGCACTAATTTTTGTCTTTAACTAAAATATATTCTAGGATTCTGAATTTTCTACAGGTGTTAAACATAAACACTTTTAAGAAACAATGATATAAATTTTTACAGCTTAGATTTCTGTAAAGATAATCCAAGAGAAAACAAAAATGAATTAATAGTAATACCTTTAAGTTTCATGCAGCAATCAATTATCTTTTTTAATTCCATTTTCATCATTCAACTGTCAGGTTTTGATAAACTTTTGTTTTACAAGTACTTAAATGTTAATGAGAACTTATGTATAGTTTTATATATAGAAAAAAGATCTTATCACGGTACATAACAAATTTTTCAACAAAAAATAAGCACCTTCAAGCATTTTTTAAGTACTCAAAAAAGCTTTAAACACTTTTTAAAAAAAAAAAAAAAATTATGATTATGATATAGGCACACTAAAAATTTTTCAAATAAAAATACTTTTAAGTTGATTAAAAAGGAATATTACAACTAAACAATATTCTAATTAGCTCGAATAACTGAATACATATTTAATCTATAATACTCATCAACTGTCATAAATACGTATATATAAATATCGAGATTCATCCAAGTTTTACTGCAGCATCAAGTGACCTTCAAAAAAAATATTTAAAAACTACACAATGAAACAAGTAATTATAGGGGGGGGGGAAGAAAGATAAAATTTAAAAATACTATACCTATATTACTTAAGTTAAAAATTGTATGGTAATGAAAGATAATTTGAAATAATCTAGGGCAATAATGATATGCTAAGGCGTGCTGTTGTAAAAATAAAAAAGTTGAAACTTTTAAAAAACTAATTTAAATGTAAGTAATTATAGAGCTTAGCAATACATATTTTTTTAAAGCTCACTTTAATTACTTTTTAAAGTATACTACACTAATTATTTTTTCACATCAATTCAATAACATATGACCATAAATAAATACTCTGTACTAAACGTCTTTATTAAATAACTAATATCTATGAAATTGACAGTAAAAGAAAAAAATTTCTCATAAACAAATTTTTTTTAAAATAAAATTGCTGCAATAAATATTATTTGTGTGATAAATATATAATTTAAAGCTACAAGAAACAAATACTATACACATATATTCATTATCTACATAAATAATGTTTTTGGCAAAACATCTGATGTACATATATTTACAAAATTATTTACAATATAGGTTATCTATTTGAAATTTATTAACATACTACTAATATTATATATGTATTTACAAAGAAATAATATTTTAACAAATATATGTAGAAGAGATTCAGAAAAATTGATGAAACAACACAAAGCATTTAACATGAGTATAATTTTAATAACAAGATAATTTGTTTCTTTTTAATTTCTGTAACTATAAAATTAGAAAACTATTGAAAAAAAAAATATTGAAAAGTAATAATATTTGATAACAATGTAGATTCATTCATTTTAGTAAACTTCTAATTACTTATATAATCTAATATCAGAAAAAAGGAACAGGTTTGGTTGATCTTTAAATTACTATCATTTTAAGCTGAAGTTGACAATACAGCAATTTATTGGTGCGTGTAAAATATTAACACTTTATCATGAATTACTACACTTGGGTTTAATTATTTGAAAACCCATAAACATGAATAATTTAATTTTACAGTTTCAATCATTTATACTCATAAAAAGTCCATAAAAAATGCTTCATTTTTTACTTGTTTAGGCAAATTAAAATTTTAAAGAACGATGTTATACTATAATGATCTAAATGAAACCGGTTTAAATGATTTATGAAGGAAAAAAGAAAGTTGGCAAAGGCATGGATTTGCAAAACCAAAGAAATAAAATCCATAGTAAAAATTATGGCAAACCAAAAAATATTGAACAGTTGAATTGGAAAACCATAGAAAGTTTCAAATACTTTCTGGAAAGAAAATTTACTATTTATCGTAAATTTCGGCAGCAAAGCTTCCACCAATCATGAGCCACAGCAGTTCATTCAAATTTAAATAAATAAGAACAAAATGTTTTCTACAGATTAAAATGTAAATATTAATATTTATAAAGATTGTTTTCAATAGATTAAAACTGAAATCTATCGATAATATAGGACAATCATGGCACATTTTTGTATCCCTTAATTTGTTTAACATTGCTAAATATAATTTAAGGTAGAGTTTTCAACCAGAGAGCCACAGTAATAAATCAAGGAAATTCCACATCATTTTCTCAAGCTGAATTTTAGCGTTTGTTACTAAGTATTAAGATTAATGACATGTTGGTATTTAGTTATGTGAAGTTGGGACAAAAAAAAAATGAAATATTAATTTTTATCCATTTTTGTTGTTCTTTGATATCAGTGGTTGGAAAAATCACATTATTCAGTTAACTACAATAACACAAATGTAGCTATAAAAAAAAAATTCAAAATTTAGTGATTTTGAAGTGTAGCCACTAGTTAACTAAGATTAGAGAAAGGATTCAATCATACTTAAAATTTAAAAAAAATTACTTTATTATGAGAAATTATTAAAAAATATCAATTTATATCAGTGAATTTACTGTTCTGAACCATGTTTTGCAATTTTTTTCTTTCAAAATTTAACAGTTTTTGCATGTTTGACAGGGAATATTCCAGAAATGCTAAAAAAAAATATCAAATATTTGTGATTTTGTTTCTAAAACTTTGTCAAAAAATCTTTAATTTATTTTTAAAAAAAAGTGATACACACCAAGAGCAAAAGCATAATATGCTATGCTGTTGGACACACTTAAGATTTGTGTCAACCAGATTAAAAAAATTAGTTGTATTTAAACCTTGTTTCTGTACTTAAGATTGAAAGTATTTACCAGAACGTTATAAACTGGTAGTTTCAAATACATACTAGTAGTTTTATTATAAACTAGTAGTTTAAAACTACTATAGACTAATAGTTTTTCATAATCAGGGTTGCCACAGAAAAAAAAGAACAAAATAGTTGTTTTTAGTAGCCTAAAGAATGAAAATAGTTGCCAAAAACTACAAAAATAGTTGCTAAATAAGAAGAAAAATATAACAAAATTTTTATTGAATTATCATATGCCATAATCTATTTAAAAAAAAGTTTAATACAATTAAAAAATATGTACAAAACAGAAAATTCATACTTAGATAAAAGTTGAAAACAGTAAAAATTTAAAGCTTATGTTGGTAGAAGGAAAAAAACACAACTTATAAAAAGAACAAAATTATAAATTTGAGAGAAATACACTTAATTAAATATAATGGAAAATAAGATTTTTGGCATTTTAGATATAAATGATAGTATAAGAATCTGTTTTCTTTTACTCAGCTCCTGTGAGTCGCAGGTTGTGCAACCCAATTTATGCTTAAAAAAACATTGCTAGGAGTACAGAAAATACTCCCAATAGTTTCCTTTTCTTGAAAATAGTTGCTTTTTCAGCCTTTTCAGGTAAAAAAAAAAGTTGCTGCAGTTGCCTCAGGCTAAAATTAGTTGCAAATGGTCGCCTGTGGCATCCCTGATATTACACTACTAACAATAATATGTTTTTAAGAAGTAGCAATTACACTTTATTTGCAGAACCAACCATTGAACAAAATGTGATAATTATGAGATACTAAACCTATCTGCTGAGGAGTTAAGCTTGCATTATAAAAATGATGTCATTTCAGACTTAATGCGTAGGTATTTAAAAAACACTTCCTTTTTACCTTAGTCTACATAAATTTTAATATTATATAAATTATTAATGTTCCATAAATTATCAATATCACATAAATTATTAATATTCCATAAATTAGCAAGTAATAAAAAAGTTGTACTTCAAGAGCTCAAAGATAATTAACTCACAAATAAAATAGGGATAGATAATAACTATAAAATGATTTTACCCAAACACAAATTATCAAGACAAAATGAGAGAGATTGCTCATACATTTGAATTTGTTAACATATATTTAAATGAAACAAACTCAAAAACTCTACTACTTAAAAAGCTATTTTTAATTCATTTGGCTTAGCTATTTACTTTCTATATATAATTGTAAACAGTTTTTGTTTGAAGTATTACAAGTCAGAGAAATTCATAACGACAATGCAACTTTAAAAGTAGCACATCTAATAAAAAATGTTCCAATGAGATTGGTCAAATTAAAATGGAAATGAAAATATTATCCAGTTTCTGATATGAAATAAATATAACCAAAAATTTAAATATACAATAAGGTGAAGATAAAATTGCAATTTAAAAGAACAATACTTGTAAAATTTTCATTTTATGTGTTTCTTTAAAATACTGATGAATAAATAGCTGAGAGCACATTTTACACACTCATGTATATAGTGAATCTATTTGAAATTGAATGCTCCTTTAAAATTTAGCAACAAAAAAAATAAACCATTAAAACCAATATCTTATGTAAAAAAATGAATAATAAAAAGAATGACTTAAATTTCTTAAAAAAATGTTGTTTCTTTCTCAAAAATGTATGAAAGATAAAAAAAAAAACTTTTCATAAGAAAGATTTAATTGTTATATAGCAAAAAAAAAAATTTTTTTTTTTTTTTTAAATGGACAGAATACCAAGCCTTGCTAATGACACATCTCTGCGTTTTCTGATCACTTCCCAGTATACTTCATGAACTGAAAAAGAATAATATACATTTTGAAATAAAGTATACTTTCATAGCAAGAGAATAACATTGCTACATAATTCATGAAACTCTTCGGAGGTTATGGCAAACTTGGCAAAAAAATTAATAGTAATAAACTGGACCAAAATGTTTTTAGCAACCAAATATACGTATTTTATTTACATAGTTAATTCTCAATTACATAAATATATATTATATAAACTATATTTTACAAAACTCCATTACAGGCAAAACTAAATTCTTTGAGATTTCCAGATTAAAATTCTGGAATTTTAGAGTTTTTTGAGATTTAAATTAGAACTGTTTCAATTGCATTTAGAAGTAACAAGTATAAAAAATTTACTATAAAATCATAATACTATTTTAGGAATAAATAAATAATATTATGCATTACAATAATTGCATAATATTATTTTCTTCATCGTAATTTTTCTTTTAATGTTGTGTACTTAAATATAAAAAATAAGAAAATGAATAAATATTTTTTTAACAAATTTAATATCAATTTTAATTTAAATGAAAACAGAAAAAAAAAGTTTAATTCATTAACGTTTTATTAAATATAATTTGAATGCTCGTTAAATAGAAAGTGGAAATAACACTAACTTAAATAGACATATTTTTAAAATTAAAATAATACTAAAAAGTACCACTGGCTGAAAAAGGTACGATACAATTGTTTTAATAATGGCAAACCATAGATTGAAACACATTTGTGTTGAAATTGTGTGTGATCATTATAACTCCAAGAATTTGTAGAGCTGATTGCTCAGAGGTTTGCAGGTTTCCCAAGTTATTTGTAAATTCCATGCTATTGTGTTACGAATTTCAGGTATTACGTAATGTTAAATAGTATCTACTCTAATTCTGCTTATTTAAATTGAAACAAATACTTACTTAATAAAAATATTAATAAGTAAAAGTTTTAGGAGGTCTAAGAAAAATCTGGAGTTTAGCATTTCAACAAAAGACTCCAAAGCACTGGCTTTGAGTTTTATACTCTTTAAATTGATGTCTATGTCTTTAAATTGATAAATAATTATTAGTTATTGAAAAGATAATAATTCGTTATAAATAATTAATAATAAATAATTATTACATATTGAATTGATAAAAAATTAAGTACAGATATTAAATTGGTAAATAAATATTAATAAATAATAATTAATTATTAATAAATAATTTTTCAAGTTATAAAAGAAATCATCACTTTTAACAGCAAAGACTTCAACTTGATTATTTATGACCTTAAATTACTTATAAAACATTCAACTTTCTGTTTAGTTTTGAAATACATTAATCTCATTTCCTAACAAAAGCACTAATTTTAATTCCAGGTTAAAAAAAATTTATTTGAGACTTTTTGTAAGAGAACAGAACTTACCTCCACTTTTGACCAGTCCCTGCTGAATGTATCGAATGTAGCAAAAGAAATCACAAACCGCAGCTATCTACAAATGGTAATTTAACACTTGTAAGCAACAAAAAAAGCAACATTTATTTATAGGTAATAAGTAATCATAATAAAGGCTGACCCGATTTCTGCAAAGATGAGATATGTAGTGCCATTCAGGATCCTCGCCCAATCGCATTCTGTACTTGCATAACCTCGGAGCTTCTAACAGAGAACATCTTCTGTAAATATGAAAGTATATGAGAGGAAAGAATATTCAGTTTAAAGAGAAGACAAATAATGCATACCTGCCAACCATTAAAGAAATAACGGAGATTTTACTAGCGACATTTTTTAGGCTACGAGTAAAGTTTTGATACATCATGTAAGTTAAAAAGAGAAATTCAATTCGAAATAATATAAACACTTACATTTAGGCAGGTAAAAAGTATATACATAAATCTTAATCCAAAGAATCTATTTTAATCTATAACATTCAATTTCAGAATGGCAATTTAATGTCTTTTTCTTTCAAATCATACCTACCTAAATATCTTTAGTTTCAAAAAAATCAATTGCACTACTGTCCCAGTTATTGATACTCTTGTGCTATTATATTCGGCAAGTGTTTTGTACAAACCATCATCTAATTTTCACCTGATTTATTAATTTTTGAAATTGAATTTGTTGATTCTTATTACTATGCAAGGTTTGTAATGGTTTCCTACCAATAAAAATCCTTACCATAATCATTATATTTTCTTTTTCATTAGTTATTATAACAGGTTATTTATAATAACAAGGTTAGTTATAATAACAGGAAAGAAAACCAACCTTCCTTTTACAGAAAAGGAAGGATGATTTTCTTTCCTGTTATTATAACTTCCTTTTAGCAGAATTAAGCCAATATTACATCATCCTTTTAACAACAAAAAAAAAAAAAAAAAAAAAAAAAAAAAAAAAAAAAAAAANAAAAAAAAAAAAAAAGAAAGAAAACTATCATGGTCAAATTAAACTTACACCAGTAATAATGAAAAACAATAAGAATTACAAGTTTCTGAATTTCTTAGCTAAAGCAAATTCCAGTCGACTTTAAAATACAGAAATTTGGGAAATAAAAAGCAAAAAGTATGGTTCACTAATAACTACAAATTCAAATTGCTGCAATATTTTTCGTTCGTAAAGAACATTTAACATACTCGAATATAGTTTTTTTTTATTCATTAGGTTTTAAAAATTTATTATTTTACGATAATTTATAGTAGATATTAAATGAAGACAAATTTGTATTGTAGGTTAAGACTCCACAATTTCATGAGAAAAGTGGTCAGCATTGAGCCTTTACTTCCCAGGCAAGGAAGTACTCATCGGCTCAAAGGTAGGAGGGCTGTCACAGAGAATTGAACATCTTTATACAAAATATACTTTCAAATTACAGTTGAGTCCCGATTATCCGAGTTTCTGCTTTAACCGAGCTATCAAATATTTCATGGATTTCTTTGTTCCAGTTTATTTTTAAAACTACAGCTTGAAAAAAATTCTGAACTTCATTTTCCAAACACTCAAGAAAACAAAATTCAACAACTTGAAAAGATTGTTAATATCGTCAATAATGAAAATGACTCTAGCGAATATGATGAAGATAGCTACGATGAAAATCAACATACAAAAATCTCTCATACAAAGGGGCTAAAAGCTATCAAAAGTGCTATTGAATAAATAGAACAACAAGAGGGAACACCAGCCTTCCTGTTATCCCTAAAAAAAATGGCGAAACATTGCTGCAGAAAAGCGATTGTAAAACAAAAAACGACGAAGGACTTTTTTTTAAGTAAAAACTCTTCCATTCTCGTAAAGTATGCTCTTTAATTGTTTTTAATTAAGTTTTTTAATTATAATATGAATTGTATGTGGTGTACTTGTATAAATTTTGTATTTGTTAAATATATTACAATTATACCTACTCTTTTTTTTATACTCTTCGCTTTGACCGAGTTTTTCGATTACGCTACTTAATCGTGATCCACGTTAACTCGGATAATCGGGACCCCACTGCACTCGGAAAAGCATGAAAATGAAGGAAAACAAAAAAAGGGTATTACTTAGGAAATGGGTTTTTTCCATTTACTTGTTCAATGGTGATGACATTTGTTTCTATGGCAGACAAGACAGTTTCTGACAACTAAAAAGAAAAATCATCAAGAGATTTCAGAATCTCAAATGAATACATTAAATGAAATTTAATGTATTCATTTGAGATTCAATTTGAGATTTAATTGGACTTGTAGACATCTAATTATTACTTATTTTGGGGGGATGCTTAGAAAATAATTAATTTTTAAACTAATTAAAAGTTACTTATCATAATTACTAAACACAACAAATGCATATTTAAAAAAAAATTAAATTAGCCCTTAGCAATTACATTGTATTTTTATTTTCACTGTACTTTAAACTCCTAACACCGCTTAGAAATACGATGGTTTTTTGATAGCACTATCTTCAAAGTATTGTCCTATACTTTCATTGCACGTACATAATAGAATAGAACCACAATTATTCAACTCCCTCCTGCCTTTGGAGAAAAGGTATGTTGTTGGACACTTTGGGAAACTTTCGCAAGTCACTTTTTTAGGTGCACAAATATTGGATTATGACTAAATCACTTTGCAGCTGTAATAAAGCTTATTATTTTACCATAATAATGGTATAAAAAATATAAAAAATGAACTATGCATACATTTTTGTTTTCAAGCAACTAAATTCTGGATTCAATATCACAAGAGTAATTGGATAAGACCAAATGCAATAACGTTGAAACACGAGTCACAACACTTTTAATGCATATCAGAAGGAGTGTCGTATGATAAGTATTACTGTGCTTTATTTCTGAAACTATGATCGCAAGAACGTTGATTCTTTTTATGCACTAGAGTGCATAGAGAAGAAGCAAAAAATAAGTTTTGCATGATTCTCCACTGCAAAAAAGAAGAAAAAACATTTAATTCTTTTTTCTTTATCTTTGTTAATAGCTAATGAAGAAAGTTAGAATAATTCTCCGTAAATTATATTGTTACTTTTACTTGACAGAGGCATTTGATTGGTCCCAATTAAAGGCCTTCTGTAGATCTACCTCCTCGTGGCGCATCCCGGTAACGTCCTAGACGTCTAAGAGATCTACAACTTTTCGTCATGCAGCATATCTCTAAGCGTGATCACCTCTGAGGGGCTTCATGTAGGCTGAGTGTGGAATGCGGGTGGCCCGTCCCAATTTAAGACAGAATTGGAAAGCCTTGCTCACTTTTCGTGTTTCTTCAAGAAGTTGGAGGAATAGCCTAAGAACAAAGTATTTCAGATGAGCTCAGTGAAAAGGCTGTTGCAGAATAGGCCATAACTGCCTGGCGAACCACCTTCACCGAATTGCCATTTTCATTAGTCCTAATTGCCGTTTTTTTTAATTTTATAACCGTTGTTGAATAGTCAACCCAATTTTAGGGTTTACAGCTACTAATGCTCAACTCCATAGCTTTGTTATTTTGAACCTAATCTAGAAGACAAGGGAAACCCTGGATCAAGTATTGGGAGAAATTTGCCTTCATGGAGGACTTTTTGATGGAACCAACATGTATTTGAGTTATGTGGAGAAGAAAACCACTAAGACCTCCCACAGTTATCGTGACGACAAGGGGACTCTAAACCATGATCCGCCTACCATTGAGGATACTTTACGCCAGCACTGTGGTCAGTGCGAGTCGGGTGCGGAATTCGAACCGATCAGCTATTGCTGGGAGAGAACCCGGATCACCTCATTGGAAGGCGGGCGCTCCATCCCCTGAGCCACGACGGCTCTAACAGCCCAGTTTATTTTATATCCGTCGTTGAACAGCCAAACCAATTTTGGGTTTTCGACTACTAATGTTCAACTCTGTACCCTTTTAATTTTGAACCAATCCAGAAGACAAGGAAACTCCTGGATCAGTACCCCCCAGAGGTATTGATTTGTTATGGGAACATGGAGGACTTTGCGACACAACAGATTTAATGTACATCTGTCACCATTTAATACATGGTGAATCTTCGGCCGCCGAGGATCGACCCACAACCTCTTGGACATGAGTCCAGTGCCCTACCAACCATGCTATCCCAGTCCTAAATTGCCCTCTTTGTGGAAGAGACAGAATAATGTACAGGAACCATTTGTTGGGATGCACGGCTCTGCGTTGGGGCTCAAAGAAGAAGCAACACCGGAGCATTCGACATTTGCTGCTGGGACATTGACTTTTTTCTCTTATTGTGTTCTTTTTTATTCTTGTTCTTTGTTAATCTTAAATGAGTTTGTCATATTCCTTTGCCATTGGAAATAATAATAATAAAAATAAATAAAAAATTCAAAATTTCTCGTCTATTAATAGCTAAAATAAATATGATTGCGCATATTAGATAGATATAAATAAAAAAGAAATGAATTCATATTTTAAATGACACATGAGGCACTTAAATTTATTTAAATGAATACTACATCTGACTACCAGAGTGGGTCTTAGTGGGCAGAACAAGGGTCAAACACAAGGGTATACAGGTTCTTAGTTTATTTATTATTATTTCATTATTCTTGGGGATAAAAATTTAGTTATTGGCCTGATGGACCAGTAGCCAAAAGGTAATACTAGCCAGTACACATTTTCACTGTGTAATGGCATTTTCCTTGTGTAATTCTATATGTTTTTTTTTCTAAGTGATAAAGTGATTTTAAAAAAATGCAATTTAAAAATTTGAAATGTTTATAATTATGCAAATTTAGACAAAAAACACAGACCAAAACAGCACATGGTTACTGGCCAGGGAATGCCACTGATAATTATTAGTGGTCCCATAACAACGTTAATTACCTTTTTATTTGTAAAATTTAAGCAGGGAAGAATGTCTTCTTTGTAGATGCAACTGATAAATGGGCTTTTCTTGTCTAGTGAAGGTTTTTGGAGCCACTCTAAGAATTCCTGATGAAAAACAGGATCAACCTGTAACAAATTTGAATAGAAATGAGAGAGGTTTCCCTTTGTGTAACAGTTGCATTGACATACAAAATTATGTTAACAAACAGGGTTCGTGATTTTTTTTTTAAAAATGTAAAAATCAGACTTTTTTGATTCAAATCGGAATTTTTTTTAAAATTCAAATACACTGTAAGAACGTTGATTTATAATTAAAAAAAACTTTATAAATGTTTAATCAAAATTAAATTAATATTAAAACTATATTATAACAATATTTTAGACCAGTTAATAATCCTACTGCTTCAAACAGATTTTGAAGGAGAAGAATGACACTATATCAGGAAAAAAAGATATGAATTCATCAGCATTTTTTCCTCTGCTATTTTCGGCATATTTGAGTAATTTCTTTTTAATATAACCTCAATTTTTAGAAATATAAATTTTCCACCAATAAAATATTATCTAGATTTTAATTCCTTGCTTTTTTCAATCAAAGGGTAGAACTTTAATTAACATTATTGGTATGTTTTGTGAAAAAAATTCATGTTTAATTACTTTTTACAACTATGCAAGACCATATTAAGACAGCATTAAATGTTTGCTTTAATCTGTACTATCAATCTCAAGAATCAAAAGATTTTTAAAAATGTAATATCAAATATGTTGGAATTAAACACACACCAAGAAAGAAAGTAATTTTGTTAACTAAAATTAATTAATGCAGTAATTTATTTAAAATAAATTTTAAAACTAAGAAAAGAAAATAATGAAAGTATTAATAATTTAAAACACTATTTTTTAACTTTCTAAATCAATATATATATAAAAAAATCAGTTGATTTAAATCAATAAACCCTGTTGACACACAGAATAAATATGATGCAAAACAGTTTGAGGATCCACAAACATGGCTGTGATCTTCAGACCAGTGAGACCAGAATGCGCAGATACAAGGTATTAATAAATGTTGTGTAAAAATGCCTGATACATTACTCCACCTTACTTTTCGTAAAGTGAAATGTAGTTCTGGAACTTTAATCAACATATTACTAATCTTTACTAAACAATCGTAGTTTTGTTTCAAATAAAAAATCGTTTAGTGCAATCTTCTCATAATTGTTATTAACAAATATTAAAGAAAAATTACATTGGAAAATAAAAACAAAAATTAAATTGATTACTTTAATTATGTGATAAGACACTTAATGGCAGACTAAGACAGCTAGTTGAAAAATCTGCAGCCTATATGACCCAGGGAAAGCAGCACAATTTTTAAAAATTTTAGGTAAGTTCAGGGAGTCAAATAAGGATTTATTAGGATAAAAACAGGTTACATCATAGTTTATTGCATAACTAAAGATTATTCTGATCTATGTATATATATTTACATTTCATAAGCGATTGTAAGTTTTAAAAAAAAAAGTTTATTAAGTCAAGAAGACAATTTTTTAAGTCAAAAACACAATTAGCAGCACAATTTTTTTAAATTTTAGGAAAGTTCAGGGGGTAAAATAAGGTTCTGTTAGGATAAAAACAGATTACACCATAGTTTATTACATAACAAAAGATTATTCCGATTTATGTATACATATTTACATTTCAGACGCGATTGTAAGCACAAAAAAAAAAGAAGTTCATTAAGTCAAGAACGAAATCTTCAAAGTGTAAAAAAATTAACAGTTTCAATATTACACACTACTTATCTAAAGCTAAGTGCATAATCCTTAAACAGACAAAAATGATAATAAATTAAAAAAAAAAAAATCCATATTGAAAAAAACCAAAGGCTTCAAAAAATGTATGAAAAATAGTAATCTAAGTAAGCCAAACTAAGCTAATAAAAAATAACTATAACTTTTGACACAACTAATTCAGTCAGGGGTCTTGACATACGCTTCTGAAGTTTGGACAATGACAAAACTTTTATCACAATATTTGAGAANAAATGATAATAAATTAAAGAAGAAAAAAATCCATATTGAAAAAACCAAAGGCTTTAAAAAATGTATGAAAAATAGTAATTTAAGTAAGCCAAACTAAAAAAAAAATGAAACTGTAGCAAAATTTATTTAGCACTAATAAAAAATAACTATAACTTTTGACACAACTAATTCAGTCAGGGGTCTTGACATACACTTCTGAAGTTTGGACAATGACAAAACTTTTATCACAATATTTGAGAAAAAGATTTTGCAGAGAATACTTGGTGGTGTAAATCAAAGCAATAACTGGAGAAGCAGATTTAACTTAACTGAACTGTACAAGATTTATAAATAACCTGATATTATTAAATACATGAATATAAATAGAATGAATTGGATGGCCCGTGTGATTCGAATGAGTGATGACAATCCAATAAAAAAGATACTGCTTTTTAGACCCACTGGGACAAGGAAGCGGGGAAGGCCACGGTTGAGATGGGCTGACTCAGTAGAGTCTTATTTTCTCGCAATTAATGAAAAGAATTGGAGATCAAAGATAAATCGGAAGTTCTCATGGAGAAATCTTCAGAGGAAGGCATTGGCTCACATTGGGCTGTCTGGCCAACTATGATGATGAATTCAGTCAGGGACTGATTTTGTATATAAAGAACAATTTATGCATTGACACATATACATAAACAAATTAATAAACATATGCCTTTCTGTATAATTTAAAGAAATTGTATCTATTAATAATAATACCAAAAGAGATGGTTTTCAAAACTATTTGTCGTTGTTAATGGAGCCCCTCTTCTTCAAAAAAGAATACATTTTCATTTTATAAAACCAAACTTTAATTTTTAACTCATAATTAAAAACCTTATTATTCAAATCCCTTTACCTCATTTTTTTTAAAAAAAAACTTTTGTCTGGTATTACTAAATTTCAAATTAGTAATTTATATTAGAAGTTATAAAAAAGATGTTTTTCTTTTTTAATTTATGATGAAATTAAACTTGAGTGAAACCACTTTCCGATATTTCAAAACTTTCACAACATAAACCACACTTTGGAGAATGTACATTAACAACCACCGATTCCAACCATTCTCTCAGAAAAATACCGTTTTGTTCTATTTTAAACCAATTGTTCTGCAATTTGGTTTCTCCTTTTCTCACGGCATCCATTTATATGCAGACAAATACAGTAAGACAGCATGAAAATTATTGAAAATGTTTATGTTACTAGACAAACTGGGAGAATTATAAAAATGCAAATAACAACCAGCAGACACATGTTGCTGTAGAGCAAAGAGCAATTCCAGATCAATTCGAACCAATTAACTGTTCCAAGAACTGAAAACTAAAAATTAAAAACAAAAAGGGCTTCTGAAACAAATCTAAAAGAAGAAAAAAAAGAGACAAAAGAGAAAGTTTTAATTTTTTTTTTTTAAGAAAAAGAAAGATAGAAAACAAACCTCATAATTATCAGGAGTGAAATCTGTGAGATCTTTGATGGGAGAACCAGGAGGTGAATCCTTAAAAGAGCAGAGCTCATAGTTACTGGGAGACCTCTTATGGCCAGGAGAAAATAACGATCTCTTACTGCGCTTATCAATCTGCGGGTGCAGGTGAGGATTTGGCATGCTTGGCGTTGAAGTGATGACAAGTGTTTTAAGAGCCTGAACCTCAGCTTGAAGTACTTCAATCTACAAATTATTATTTTATCACTCACAAATATTGATTTACAAATGCATTTTTTTTTTAAAAATAAAATCTAAAATACTTGAAAAAGTATAATAATCAATAACTGGATTACTTTTCCCTAACAGGCTATAATCTAAAAAACAAGAAAATTTAACAAAAGGGGAAACAGGATGCACAGCCAAATTTTTCTTAACAAAAAATAAACACTTTTTAAGTCATAAAAATAACTTAAATCACTTATTGTTCAACTAAAAAAACACACCAATAAAAAATGTTTCTACCTATTGTTGAAACTTCTTCATATACATAAAATTAATAAATTGGAAAAACATTTCCAAAGTTTCTACACAATCATGATAAATAAGTAACTTGCTTTTGGCGGGGGATTAAAAAAACACTTTTCTTAAATTTATTATTAATCTTAAAAGTATTTAGCGCATAATTTTAGATTCTATTCTTTAAATTTGTGGGGAGAGAAGTTACAGAAAATGCCAACTTTCATCTATGAAAAAGTACCCCACCATAGAAACGAGTTAACATGTCATATATACTAGTGAATTGGAATGGTATTTTTGTAGTGGTAGACACACTACAGTACAGGTAGACACTTTTGTAGTGGTACACTACAAAATTAATAATCCCTTTGTTCAAAGATGTAATTGCAATCAATCTTTGTTTAAATATATAATTTAAATTGCAAAAACTTATTGCAATTTGAAATTGCAATAAGTTTTTTTTGTGATGGGAGTTTTTTTTTTTTTTAAGATTTACATAAAAATTATTTATAAATGCTTACTAATTAAAAGCATTAACAAGATTAATATTTTTGAACATATTGAATTGAGAAAGATATGCAGACAATAAGTGAACAAATAAAACCTAAATAAATTCCCATAACAAAATGAACTTAATAAATGGCCCTGTGATATGGGTTAGTCCATCTTTATGGTGGAGGTAAAACCACTGTAGTATTTAAGCATATTTTAGCCACAGCAGATACACTTAAGTTTCTTACCACTGAGTAGTATTTTATATGAGAGAATTGAACAAAATCATTTAAAGAAAAATTGCTTTATAACTTTGTAAATATTCGAAACAATATGGCCATACATTGTTATTAAAATTAAAATAAAATGCTCCTTTAAAGGGATGTGGAGATTCATTGTTCTCGAATCAAGAATTTCATAAAGTTAACTAACGGTCGATTCTAGAAATGGTTCAATCAGTGTTGTTTGATAACATCAGTAATATTTGCCAGCTTATCGTTTGTATATTTAAAAAAAAAAAACATTTTATTGCACATCCTTCAACATTTAATTATTTTTTATTCAGTATGTAAGGTAAACTTATTGATCAATGTAAATGTAGTAGTATCGGAGAGCTGTGAAAAAAAATGAGTATTTCTATTTTATCTAAAGTTAAAGGTTTATTTTGCTTATACTTATGCTTTTAAAATGCTTCTATATAATATTAAATAATTTAAAAACAATGGTAATTGAAGTTATAACAAAATAAGTTATGTACTGATAAGATAAATTGATGGACAGTACTAATTCGTTGAGGACAATAACATTATTATCAAAAGCACCAAAGTTATTATAGATGCTAATGACAATTATTTTTCATAATAATTACTAATTGAAGTAAAAGTATAAGCTTTGTACTAAACAGCAAAAGGAAAATCGTGTCACCAAATTAGTATATCTAAGGTTATCTGAAATCATGTGTTTATTTTGTTTACGGATTTCCTTTAAAATGTGCTTTAATAAAAGTAAATATTTTAAAACAAACAGTAATTTAAATGAAAAATATTAGTTACATACAAAAATAACAAGAACGTTTGAAATTTTTCACAAAAAAAAAAATTCACTTTAATATCTTTAATTCGTTACATAGTGTCAAACGCACAATATTAAATCATTGTTGTGAAATAAGATAAGAAGGATGTTGTCAATAATAACTTATTGATCAATGTGAATGTAGTAGCATAGACAAACTATGTCGAAAAATTAGTTTTCTTATTTTATCTAAGCCTTTAAGTTTATTTTGCTTATATTTATGCTCTTGAAATGTGCCTATATAATATTAAATAATTTAAAAACAATGGAAATTGATTCAAGAGAAGTATTTATTCAAATAAAAAAAATAAGTTATGTACTAAAAAGTAAAATCAATGGAGAAATGGTATTAATTCTTTTAGGAAGAATATAAAAAACTGCTATGCTATTATTGATGTCAAGGGCAAATAATTCTGATAATAGGCACTTCTAGTTTTATGGTAATTGACAAAGCTTTAATAAGTAAAAAATATACAAATATAGACAAAATTTGGTACCTATTTAAACTGAACCAATACTATGCTATTTTAACGTAGATACTGTGAAAATAATTTGTATGCCCCCTTAAAAGGATAAGTCTCGCGTGTTTTAAAAGAAATTAATCAATTGTGGAAAATTTTCCTATCATGAATAGACAACGAGCAATAACATCACATAAAAAATTACACAGAATTTATTTAATCTTAATTATGTTGAGATCTTTAAAAAAACTTATTTTGCTTAATCTAATAACGTAAAGCTACCAGCAAAGAAAATAAATAATAAACAAAATTTTTTTAAATTATTTATGTTAATATATTTCTTTCAGTTTTGTGCACTATTTTGTAACATTGTTCAGTACTGATTCCTTGATTGTCCATTTTTTTCCTCGTACATAAAATGGGTATTCAGCTCGAGCAAAATAAAAAAGGGAAAAATAAGATATTGTTTTTCTTTCATAGTAAATTTATTGTACACAGATTTTAGATTTGACATAAAATTTAAAATAGACTGAAATCCCATAAAAATTTATTAATTCCTCAGTTCAAAACTTTGTGTACTAATTATATATATAATAATATAAATATAATAAACATTTTTCCAGAATTTTCTCAGTCACAAATATTCCTCATATGTGTACAAATAAGGAAATGGAAAGGAATGCTAATTAACCATACTCTTAAACATTTCACATATATGTTCAGTGTTAAAAAAAATTTTACATTTTTTAAAAGACATAAATTTTTTTAAATATTAATATTTTTTAATACCTCAAAGAATTTGAATACTAAAATTTTTTTTAACAAATTAGAAAGAGTGGAAGAGTTCATTAAACCATACCTGCCAACATTGGAGAAATGAAATAACGGAGATTGTACTAGCAATATTTTTTAGGCTAATAGTGAAGTTTTATATCAAGCATAATCATCATGTAATTCAAACAGAGAAATAGAAATTCAAAATTGGAAATAATGTTAGCATTTGCATTCAGCGAGGTAAAAAATATGTATAAATCTTAATCTAGAAAAGTTTTTTTATTATTTATAATTACTTCAAACTATTTCAATTTGTAACAGTCGTTAAATAGATGATTCAATTTTTTAGGTTTACCACTACTAACATTCAACTCCATAGCCTTGTAATTTTGAACCATATCCAGAAGACAAAGGAACTCCTGGATCAAGTATTGGGAGAAATTTGTCTTTGTGGAGGACTTTTTGCGTTAACCCGTAATTGAGTTACATGGAGAGGAAAATCATGAAAAACTTCCACGGTTACTCTGACGGCAAGGGGGCTCTAAATCATGATCCGTCAACTACTAAAGATATTTTGAATTAAACTATTAACACTCAACATACTGCAGTACTGGCAATAGTACTATCAGTTTAGAAATAAGAAGCATTTTGGCCATCAGCAGATATTTTATTACCAAATTTATTATTTTTTTCAAATTTCTTCAATAAATATGGAAAAAATTGAGAATATATAGGTAAACAGGAGATGGTCTTTAAATACAAAGAGTCTTTGTTCAAAAACAGGAGACTTGGCAGGTATGTTTAACAAACTGTCAAACATGGATTCTTCCATAATCAATAACAAAATAAGTACATTGGCAAAATTCATAATTAATTTCAAAGTACAATATTTAAAAACAAAAATAAATAAATAAAATGCTGCAATAATATATTTTTATTAATTCAATAGTTTGTGGGACTTTTTTAGATATTTTTTCCATTATGCTCTCTTCTTTACTAGTCCGCAAGTTGACCTTTTCAGTGCCTTTAAATTTTCAAAAGTGCAGTCGGCCTAAGAGGACGCCATACTGAGGAAGAAACTTTTCGATGCAAATTCTCTTTCTCCTTTATTACTAATTTAAAATTTAAAGTGTAGAAAAAGTAAGTTCAGGCAAACCTAGAATTTGTCATGAAGTTTCAATTGCTGAAAAAAATACCACAAAATATTAAAATGAAAACAAATTATTAGAAGAGAACTTCTTCATTGCATAATCCTAAGTTATCATCTCATAACTTATTTTCATTTGTATATTTTAACATTTTCCTTTCAGTATTTGAAAATTCATGGCTTACTCTAGATTTGTCTGAACTCACTTTTTCTACACTTTAAACTTTAATTTAGAAATGAAGGAGAAAGAGAATTTGTGATGAAAAATTTCTCCTGCAGTACGGAATCCTCTGAACTTAGTCTGGGCCTGCCACTGGTTTAACATTCCAATAGCTTTAGTTTAGCTGGATGTTAAGGAGAATAGGTTTTGTTTGTTAAGATCATTCAATTGATTTGAAAACTAAATTTAATTATGAGTCTTGTAGTTTGTTTTTTTATAACTATGCTCATAATAATGCAAGATATTAGTTTTAACTCATTCTTCAGTAACATTTATAATAAAAAAGAAAGAAAATATATCATTGAATTTACATAGAAATGGAAATGTTTCTTTAAAAAATCTATGGAATTTTAAAAAAGTGAAAAATTTGACCATATATAAAGCCCACTTCATTATTTAGCAGAATTAACCTTTCAAATTTTAAAACAAGCAAAAAGATGTCGATTTTTTAATTAAAGGTGGCTCCTAAATTATTAATCTATTTTTTAATCTATTAGAAAATCCAGTAGAGTAGGCAGGTATAGAAGAATTTCATTAAAAATTTAACACTCTTATACTATGAACAGCAATAAAAAAATAAGAAACTTGGAAAACTTGTTCTTACTTTTAAATTAGCTTCTCTCAAGAGTTTTTCAGCATTGGACTGCTTAATATTTGCATCTCGAACCATATTATTTGCCTCCTAAAAAATTAAAGAAAAAGAATTAAAACAATTATGAAATTATATCAGAGTTATTGTTACCTCAAAACTCGAACAAAAAATTTACGAATCCAGACATTAAAAACAAAATCGTCAGAAACATTTTAAATTTTCTTCAGAAAGAAAAAAAAATATGTTCTTCAAATTACTAACATAAAATTTTTCTTTCTTTCTTTTCTTTCTAAAATTATATTTAAACAACAAACAAACAATAGAAGCAATTGCAAAAAATTTTAAATTGAAAGAGTTAATAAAAGGTTGCTATTTGCCATAAACCAATTTAAACTTATTATAGTTAAAATATAGTTATTTAAAATGCAACAAAATTAAAATAATAGTTTAGTAATGTGGATGAAATTTCTCTCTTGAGTTTAACTTCAAAGTCACAAGAGAAGAAAAGATGAATTTCTTTTAACTCGACCTTACACAACCTTTGGAAGAAGACACACAGCCTTTATCGAAGACGGGCTGATTTAATTTTTTAATAAAGCAACAACTAACCATTTCTTAATATGATAAGCAAACTATAAGAAATAAGTAGCAATAGGTAATCAGAAAAACTATAGCAAATTGCATACAAGTTCACCATGAAAATAAGGAAAACTGTTATTAACCTCAAATAAACTGGCAGTTAACTCTTCAAGCTCTGCACCCACTTCATCACGAATTTGACTTAATCTTGCAACTTCTTCATCTTTCAGCTTTAATTCCTGGGAAAGAAAAGATTTGGTATACCATGATGGATTCATTTGTTTAAAAAAATGTAATATACACTTTAAAAACTTATAGAAAATATTTATACTAACAAATTCATAATACAGTCAAACTATATATATAGTGAATAGTCATAATATAGTGAACTCACAATATAGTGAATGAAATGTTCACTACCATGCCTTGCTACACACGTATAATGTTATTTTTTGTGAATATAGTGAACCAAAAAAAGAGAGGAGGGGGGATATTATGAACTTTTTATGTCTTTGACTGATTTTCTTCACTCTTTTGGTAATAATCTAGAAATTTCTACTTCAAGATAAATATATATACGATTTTTAAAAGCATGGAATGTAGCATATAAGCATTTTTTCAATTTTGCTTCAGCATTTAAAGAAGCTGCAATCTTTCAGTATTTGGACAAATGCTTCACGTCTAATCTGATGTATTTGCCAAGCGATTCGGTGAGACTACTTTTATGTGCTCGAATAGCAGGTTAGGCAGGTTTAAAAAGCGGAACATAAATTCATGAAAAATTATCGGAGGGACGGGAAATGTTTCCATACCTGATGCGGAGGATTGCTCATCAGCTAAAGATTACAAATTTTTTTTTTGTATGCAAGACGAAGATAATAAAAGAAATAAGTCAACAAATTTTTTTAACTACGTATTATTCTTCAGTCATTTTTGTACTTCACTTTATGGGTCATTTATTTAAATAATGTGTAATAAAAGGGGGAAGGTTGGAACCATTAGTTAAAATGGTTTGCGGAACGGTTATAGTGCACCGAAATTTCGGTCCCATGAATTCACAAGGATGTTGACTACAAAAATGATTTTCTCAAGGATATATACTTTGCACTTAAATACATTCTTTTTATAAGGTTTCATATTAATATTAAAATCAGACACATTCTTGAGTTCAACAAAATCCACAAACAACAGAACAGACTTCAGTAATCAATTTCACTGCATTCTTCATTGATTAGTAATTAGAATATATTAAAGTATATGAAAAATTACTTTGAATTTAATTTCAGAACAAATATTCTAGTTCATACATATAGAATTATGATTGAAAAATAATGCAAGAGTTACTGGAAATAATAAATGATTTACAAAATGAAAAAAAAAAAAAAATCAGAACTTAGAGGGAAAAAAGGAACAGCTGAACATACTTAAATAATGCTATAGTAAATTAAATATTTTAGCATAGCTGAAATATCATGCGTAAATATCACATAGAATACATTATGAGTGGTCACTATTTTTTAAAAGACAAAAATAAGAAACAAAATTCCCTGTATTTTCCCAGTTTCTAAAGAAAGAATCCAAATTCACTACATTTTTCCTGTTATTTTAGGTGATTTTTAAATTCCCTGCATTTTCCAGGTTTTCCGTGTTCTCCCAGTGGAGTAGCAAAAACCTTTCAGCAATTTAACAAGAACTGTTCTACAAGGTGCATAGCCAAATTTTTCAACAAAAAATAAGCACTTTCTAAGCACTTAAAAAATATTTTTAAGCACTATATACATTAACAAAATGCAAAATAATTTTCAAAGATTTTACATGTTCATGATAAAATAACTAGTTCCTGACAAAGAGAACTCTTTTTCTTGATTACATTAGCCACCATAAAAAGATAGAGATATTTCGGTGGGTGGAAAATGAAGCCTAAAATTGAGAATATCTTGCAAAATGCAGCCGAGTTGCACATGACAGTGCAAGAATTCCCACTGAATCCAATTCATTATATGCTCATGTGGACCCGCAAGCATTTCTACTAACATGTAAAATGATTGGCGCTTTCTTACACAACGGAAAGACGGTAAGCCAAAATGCATTCTGTTTGAATGATTTGTTAAAATGTTGAATAGAACAATGTGAAAACCATGTTTGATGTTGTTTTATGGCAAAGAGAAAAAAATTCTTATTTTCGGAAATGGAAATTAAGCACTTTTTAAAAACTCCCAATGAAAAAAGCACCTTTAAAGACTTTTAAAAAACGAAAATAAGCACCTTCAAGCACTTTTTAAAAATGTTACGCACTCTGTTCTAGTTATAATGAGCCATACTATCAGATAATTCATACCAATTGAGCTTTATGCAACTCCTGCTGCAATCTTGAATAAGCTAATTCTTTGACTTCAGCCATAAGAGAATTTCGTCCTGGCAATGAGTCGTCTTTCAGTTCACACACAACACCTGCAGGACCACCAGTGGTAAAGATGCACGTATCCTCGGGAGGAACAACTCTGGATATTAAATAATAACATGTTAAAATACTGTGCTTTATGAAAAATCAGGCAAGATTGTATTTTATCAAACTGGTAAATACAAACTTTAAAAAAATTTTAGTTTCAAATAGTGTCACTCAGAACCTTGAGCATTTATATTTCAGATTTGTTATGATTTAGTGTTGCAACAAATGAAATTTGAATTTCAATAATTTCACATTTTATTAAAAATTCTTAAAAAGATACAAACTATTTTTTTATCAGCCTTATTATTCCTTTAGAAACTAATTAACCAACAGGTAACTAATTAACCAATAAAATTACTTATGTCTCATAAAAATGTTGCCAGCTACATTTAGTAAACTAACATAAAAAATACTCATAGAAAATATTACTTTCATTCCATTAATAAAAAAAATCCCTTTGGAAAAAATTATCTGTTTAAAATAACAGCCGAATAAGTTTTTTTCTCATCATATATGTTTTTATTACATAATTAATCTGTACACATTATCAATTTGAAGTAGACGCAATTATACAATTTCTATATGGTGGCTTTAGACTGAATAAAATATATTTTCAATTATTTAAATTAAATCAAATGTGTATTTTTCTTCACGTTTTAAAATATAAATTATGTTGTTAACTCAATTTTATTTAGGTGTGCTGTTGCATTTCTTTTAACATACTTTCAGGGCTGTAGCTATCTACAACTTTACCCAATATTGCTAAACTTGAAAAAATTAACTAATTTCATTTTTATTTTCAACAAAAAAAATTTTTTTTCTTTCCTTATTGCCTAAGAAACTTTTTTTGGTTTCTTTTTTGTGAAAATCGAAAACCAAATAAACTAAGTAAGCTTCTTAACCTCTTCAATAGGACAAACATTATTCTTATTATATATTACATGCTTTTGCAACATATAGGGCAACTTGGAAGCTTAAGGAATAAAAATGAAAAAAGAATGTGTGTTCAGCCATGGATGAATAAATTAACAATAACTTGTTAGAAGAAATCTTTTTTTATTTGTTGCTTTGTAACGCATGCGCTCTGAAACTCTTGCTAACTGGAAAATTTTATCTGTTTGTCAGTAGGATTAGCAATTTCGTAAAGTGTGTTTACCTTCGAATTCAATCGTCCAATTCTTCAAAGTTTCATTTTATTACTTTAGTTTTTATGCAAGCTTCAGGACGCATAGTTACTTTTCCCATCTATTATGGAAGTTCAAGTATGTTCTAGGTCTGTTTTTATTTTAAAGTTTTTAATAAATAGTTTATTATGGCAATTTAGTTTTATTTCATTATTCGATGGCTCAAGTTAGCTTAATTCATGTTAGTATTCCCCCACAATGTGATTTCCTTACTCAGATTAAAAGATGAATTCAAATAAAAAATAAGTTCACAAAGCAGATTGAGGATACCTTGGATCAGGAGATAATAACTCAACAACCTGATTGCCCAGTTCTAAGACTGCTTTAGGAGATGTATTCCCATTCAACAACAGTTTATTGGCAGAAGCAGCTTTCTCTGCCATTTCCTTATCTAGCTGCTCATACTTTTCGTGTATTCTTGCCTTCAGAGCGGCAGTTTTCTCATCGGAATCAGAAAAACTGTGACCCCTTTCAGGTTTTTGAGAAGCTGCCTGCATAGCCTTCAGAGCTCCATCACTGGAGCATCTCCTGGAAGAGGCTTTCCAGGGGCTGTTCGAAGAATCTGTAGGGATTCTTGCGACATGGCCGTTGGAGATGGGTGGAGCTGATTTTGCTGCATCTGTGTTATTTGTAATCTCATGGTGCATGTTTAGGCAATGAAAATTTAAGCCATCTTATTTCTAAGTTGACAGCAAGGCTCCTAAAAAAAATTAAGCATTAATAATAAATTCAATGAACTCTTCATTAAAAATTTATTTTAATGGAAAAATAACCAGAAATTTTGATACAAATATATTTGAGGGTGCCCCCTTGGTGAAATTGGTGATTTTTGTTTGGCGCCATTCTTGTTCACGCGGAACACCGTGCAAACAGGAATGGCGGCCAAAACATAATAAAATTGCAATGAACACAATATGAACTTTCGCACAAACAGGACATTTATACCGATTACTAATTAAATCTTCATTTATACACCAGTCATTCACTGCCTTTTTTTTTCCATTGTGATTCAATTCGTACAGAAACTTAAGATTTATCTTACTTACCGAAGTTATTTTCAGCACCAGAAGCAAAATTAACTTTACCAGCCGACATCCAACGTAGAACTAACTGACCTCCGAAATTATGCATACCGAACATTTAAAAAAAAAAAAAAGCTAAAATCTAAACCAATCAGAATCACAATTGGGTTTAAAAAAAAAAAAAAAACTATAGACATTCCCCTAAATAAAACAACACTGCCCAGCTTGGCTATCAACCGCAATCACAACTTTGCAAGAATCAAGGAGCACCCTCAAATATAGTGTAACATAAATATAGTTTAAATTTAAATAATTAAAAAATTTTTAACAGACTATTTCTTTTGAGTCATAGTTGATGCTACTTTAGATCGATGTGGTAGCTCAATGCAAACAAGTTTTGTAATAGAGTTATAGGCACAGGCTACAGATGTTATAATGAAATTGTTAAAGAAGTTCAAACATTTTTTTAAAACAATCTTAGATAGGAGATAGTTACTCTTTTTTGATTCATTCATAAACTTTAGATTTTGTGATAAGTAAAACTCTTAAGTCTTTCACTTTCAACTGCAAGGCTTGAACTTATTGGAGATTTCTTGGATTTATAATTTTATCAGTATTTCATAAATTTTCTTAACACAAAATTATATTTTATAACTGAAAAGTTGAGTAGACCTATACCAAATCCTACTCTCTAGGCAACAATTTTAGAACCAGTATGCACCTGTTCTTTGCCGAAAAATAACACAAACCAACACTGAATCTAAGCTACTAAGTAACAGTTTCCTTACCAGTATGCACCATGTCAATAGTATACTGAAAAAAGGTATCACAGGCAGTAGCACTTAACCTTAACTCTTTAAAGACCAAGTGGCCTGAAGAAGTCCGGACTACTTAACGACCGACTGGGGTCAGTGGGGAACTCTGAAGGGTGAATGGGTAGTAGTGATTGGGAGGGGATGANACTTAACCTTTTAAAAAAACAAAAAAAAAAAAACAGTGTAATATATACAGAGCAAATCCGTTTTTCTTTTCCATGGAATGAATACACTTTGGCAGTAATAATTTGTCTTTGTAAAGTCATTTTGAGTCTAAATTACATTTTTATTTGAGTTTGTATGTTGGTTATGGTTTTTCAAAGTGAGTTATTAAGGATCTGGGCAAAAGTTGAATTAAGATTGAGTAGAACTGAACTGTTTTTATTTATGAACAGAAACATTGTGTTAAATGTGCCTATGAAATAGGTTAAATTTTAATTTAATAGTAACTGATGTTTTTTAAGGTTAAATACCAATGTCAGGTATATCCAAATCTGACGTTTTTTAAAGGTTAAATGCCACTGACCGGTATACTTTTACCCAGTATACACTAGACTTATGTTTTTTTTCCCCTAAGCATAAATGCCATTGCTGGCATATCCTTTACTGTTGCGTAAAATTGACCATAATATATGTGAGCTTTTAAATTTGATGGAGTTGCAATATTTGATTCTGTTTTCGCATCGGGTGTGTACACTTAACTAAATACAGTTGTCTATGACCTAACATTTGACTTATGAAGTGCATGTTTTAGTGTTAAAAAATTACCAAAAACTTATGAATTTTTCAGGGTTACAATATTTAATTCCATTTTAAGCATGTGACGGCATTAAGAATGTGCCTAAGTGGTTGGTGAGAAGAAAAAAAAAATTGTCAAATGCAATGCAGTTGCTTAACAAATATGTCCTTATTTTGATATTTTTTTAAAAATAAATAAGTAAATAAAAGAAAGAATTGAAGTTTACTTGGGTGTGGTTAAATGATAAATAAATTTTATTTGTAATTTAACACTCAAATCAAATTATTTAAATTATGCAGTAAAAAGGATAAAACTATCATAGATATTCCTGCAAAAATACAAACCTAAATAAATAAACATATAGATATTTAACTTTTAAACATGTTGGATAGTAATTGTAAAGAATTACCAAAAATTAAAACATACTCCTTTAAAGCTCAAGTAATAACTTGTCTCCCAAGAACCACCATTATGTTTCAATCCTAGGTGAAATACTGAGGATTTTAACATTAAAAACTCAGCATTTTTGTTTCATAGCTAAATTTTCATTAAAATAATTTTAAAATTCTCTCAAGCTTAATTTTCACAAATATGTTCCTTAAACTAAAAAAAGATTACAAGCAAAAAGTTAAATAAAAATATATGTTTTATAAACAAAATTGCTTCTAAAGGATTTATGTGGTTATCAAAATAATCAACAAAAGGAAAAAAGCAATTTTAGAAATTAGAGTAATTACAAAAGTAGCCAAGTAGTTTATGTTAATGCTTCATTAGATATTTTCTCATTAAGAATTGAAAAATATAAGATGCTTTTAATACTGTTAGTGAAAAAAACTTTTAAACAAGTTCATTTAAAAAATTAATTAGCAAAAATAACAAAAAGCAAAGGTAAAACAGCCACAATTTAATGAAATGAAGATTTGAATTAACGAAAATTAAATTGTGATTGGATTTACGTTATACTAACAATTTAACAAAAATAAACAGAAAATGATTGATACTTTCTAAATTTTAAACAGATAAACTCTTGCTTAGTTTACATTTGTCCAAGCAAAACAAAGTTAAACCATTATTAATGAAGAACATTGATAACTTTTTAAATCATTAGATTACTTTTTACACCATGTGGATTTGACAATTTTGCTATTCAATGGTAATAGTCAAAAGAATGAGTGATCCCTGTAAAATGTTATCAGACTACTATTTTATCTAAATCGGTATTATTGACATTTTAAATGCTTGGAAATGATTGTTCTGCGAAAAAATAAGAAGTCAATAACAATTTCCATATAAAACACATGCTATAAATTTGATATTTTAAGATATATATAAGAAATTTGATTTAAATTCAGACCCTTACCATCGTTAAATAAGAAAGTATACACAGCAAGGAAACGCCTTCTCAATACAAATAGAAAACATACGAAGTACGGAGAATAGTTGAAAAGTTTTGCATTTAAATATCTAGGAAGTTAAAGAAATGAGGGACTACTGAGATTTAAAAGGTGGAAACAAAGTTTATACTGAAGGAAGTGTTAAAAATTTAATTAATAACTTTAATCAACATTTCCCAATTAATATACAGAGTTGCAGCACTATGTTTATTTTTACACATGTTGTCAAACATAACCAGCAGCGCCATCTTTCGATAGCGCATCAAATTATTGATGTTTTTTTCTTTAATGCAATAACAATGAGATGTATTAATTTTGAAATAATTTTATGTTATTTCCTCATATGTACGTCTTAGTTAAATTAACATAAGTAACTCAGTCAAAGCAAATTGATCAAATTACCTGGATACCTTTTTGAACTTTAAGATTATCGATCCATGTTAAGCAGAAATAGGCATCTGAAAACGCTTTCTCTCTGTAATAAACATATCCCTTTTTACAATTAACAAATACTAAGCATGGCTACTAGTCGATCACTTGAAAATACTGTAATTTATAAATTATTTCCTAGGATTCATGAAGATGTTAATAGCAATTTAAACACGGTCGATAAATTAGAAATAGCTGCTGAAAATTATGTTAATAAAATTCGTGGTTTTTTAGAACGCTACATTTGGCAAAATGATCCATTCAATTTACATGTCTCTGAAATAGGTAATCATTAACAACTTATGTCATTTGTTTTTTTTTAATCTAACTGCTCTAAATTGCCTGAAAGGTTCGCAAGCACCTGGGTTTGTAAGAAAAAATCCAGCCCACGTGGTGTTTTTTCGCCCAGGGATAAGCGTTTTTTTTTTTTAAATGCAGTCTACATGCATAATTATACAGTAGATCCTGTATATTCTACATACTTATACAGTCGAGCAATGCATACTTAACAATTTTCGCGTGACTGATCACAAACGTCTTTAAAAGTGGGAAGTCTCAATATCTGGGGTATGAAAATCTAATTTATGTAAAATAGCATAATAATACACATTTATCTTATTTGCTCTGTAAACTATAAAAATGGGGGATATTTCCGTATCGTGAAGAATCACGTCACGATATGGAAATACCCCCTTAAAATTCATTGTAGTCTAATATTTTAAGTAGTAATTTATTTTAAGAAGTAATTTTTTGTAGTCAATTTGATTTTTTTTTTTTAAAAAAGGGTGGAAATTTTTACTTGTTTCGAACTCTTCAATTTTAACGAATGCAACGAATTTTCCCAACATCGCAATTACGTATACCTCTTTTTTTTTTCTTGACTTTCACATCCTCAGGAAAAAAAATTATAAGGCATAGTGTCTTTATAGGATGGAGAAGATAAGCAAAAAGTATGGACATAGCTGCCAACTCTATTGGATTTTTCAGTAGACTACTGAATTTTGCCAGTTTCTACAGGTTTAATAAAATCTGGTTTTTTGTACATTTTAGAAAATTTCATAAGTTGCGTAAGTTTTCCACAAAAAAAAATCTCTATTGCAATAGAATTTTTCCTCAAATAATTGCTTGCTTGATAATTTAAATGTATTACTAATAGATTCATAATGAAGTAGACTTCATTTACAGAAATCAGTTTAAAAAAATTTTTTCGAAAATTTTCAGTTCATTTTTATTTAGAACTCTCTTTTTTAAATAAATTTTTAACAAATATTTTTTACTACCTTTGATGAATTAAATGCCTATTACGGTTCAAAACTATGAGTAAACATAAAATTTCAAGTATATTTAATGTCAATGATAACTGGGAAATAAAGTATTACAGTTTTTCTATTTTGATGACTGTAAAATCCCTATCATTTCCTATAGGTAAAACATTTAGTACATTATGCGAAAATTATCATGAAATTTATATTTATTAGAATCTACTGGATTTTTACCCATCCATGATGGCAGCTATGTATATGTTACACTAAACAATATATGTTACATTCTACACTAAACAATGTGAGGATATTTTTAAATTAAATGTTAACTGTAGAATTTGACCATTGGATCAAAATCTCTGGTACCTTACAAACTTCTAATGGAACTCATCCATGAATTGTATTCTTTTTTTCTTTTATAGTTTTTAATTTAAACCTCTGTTTTCATAATATGTAGCTAATCAGGGGTCTGTCTAGGTTTTTCTGAGAGGTACCTATTTTGTGAAAATTCAGACGTAATTTGTGAAAAATTAAATATTATATTTAAAAATCAACACAAAAATATGGATTTGTCATTTCTTAAGGGATACAAAAATAAAATTTTAAGAAAAAGTATTTTGTGAAACTACAGTTTTTCTAAAGTTGAATTTGTGAAACTACCGTTTTTCCTATGGTTGAATTTGTGAAGGTCCCGCTAAACGGTTGCAAATTCGGCCTGGACAGACCCCTGCTAATCATATACCTGTTACATTTATTCTTAGCTATTGCTTCATTTTAGAAAGTGAAATTCCTGAAAGTGTGTTTTCTTGACCGCTTTAATTCATTAGTTCACGTAAATTTTATTTCTGATAATTATTGTGCCTTATAGCTACAGTACCTCACCTTGAAGGATTGACCTGTTATGAAGATAACGTGGAAGATGAATGGTTCATAGTCTATCTTCTCTTTTACTTAACTGAAAAGGATAAAAATTTAATTGTGCAGTAAGCCTTTGCTTTATTTATTTTCATTATGTTTTTATTGCTATTATAAAGTACAAAATTAGCAGTTGTTAGTTACCACATGATGGCTATTAAAAAGAAAGTGCTTTAAGATAGTGTCTTAAATAGAAATCAATTATTAAAAAAATTTAAATTATGGATGGTTGACCACGTAAACTAAGTGCAGATGGCGCTAGGGGTGTAAAATTGGTCAAAAGACTTCAGGGTTACTACTTCCCGCTAAGTTTTACGCCTAAGCTTGAAGGAACTTACCATCTAATATTATTAGAGTGTTTTCAATATAACACTTTCTTTCTATCTAACTTTCTACAGAATTTTTTTAGCTATCTGTAACAAGACTCTCTAGCACCAATATTTTCTGCAGGATACTCTAAATAATAACAAACATATATGTTACTAATTTAAAGTTACAAGAGCGCTGTGTTTAGAAGGGAAAAAGAACTACATATATATATATTTTTTTAATTGAACATGTAATAATTGTTTATTTTAATATTATGGATAATATTCTCGCATTTTGTTTTTTCCAAATTATTAAATTTTGTAAATAATCATCACGATAAAAAAGTAATTAGAAATCAGGAAATCTGTAGTTGTAATAACCGAAAAAAAGTTCGAGGTTGAAATCAAGCGAATCAGAATCCTTAAATTCATGTTTCGGTTCGGGATTAAATTGTTGTAATAAATAATATCGGATTTAAAAACTATGGGGAAATCAATAGCATTAACTGTCAGAAATGCTAGTGAATTATTGCCTTAGAAAGTAAATATTCAAATGCCCGATTCGAATTTGACTTATTGTTTGGAATATATCGGAATATTTAAAATCCACATGAATCCACTGCCGATAATACAATCTAAACATTACATCGATTTACGATACTATCGGCGTAAATTGAGCTCGTCAAAAAGTGCATATCTGAATACATGATTCAAATATTACGCTTAAATTTCAATTGAAAACAAACTTTATTTATTTTTTTGTACTTTTCAAAAGAAAAAATTTTGTGCAAAAACACTGAAACGTTCTGCCACGATGGACTTCGCAAGCTTGCTATGATGGTGTGGGGAAAGTAGTTGCAGACCATGTCAACCGTCATCTTTGAAAAGGTACCCCGACATAGAGTCGAGTTAACATGTCTTATATACTGGTGTATAGTAGTTGTAATTTTGTAGTGGTGGATACGCTACAGTACTCCCCCACCAGAATTATATCTGTGATAGAATTCGATGAATGAATGCCACTGGTTGAATCATTGCTGTTGATGTGCGGTTGAGCCGGGAGAGCTGTATTAAGATCACCGTACTTTGTGAGTGCTGAATGTGAGAGGTGTATTAACTTAACGGTCGTAGTCGCTCCTGTGTTGCCTTTAGCAGTCGAGTATATGCACTCCGACGTTGTGTGCTCGAGACTGAGTAGCAGGAGTGAGTAGCGCGAGGAGGTGGATAATGTTGCAGTCACAAGTAGCAAGTCAACTATTCAATGTGGACCATCCAACGAAGTAGGCGTTACTGCCGATGTAGGCGTATCCAGATCAAAGTGGACGTTTTTGCCAAGGTAGGCGTGTTCACATCACTTCCGAAGGTCACCAATGTGGGGAGAGTAGTTACAGACCATGTCAACCATCATCTATGAAAAGGTACACCGACATAGACTCGAGTTAACATGTCTTATATACTAGTGTATTGTAGTTGTAATTTTGTAGTGGTAGATATGCTACAATGGCTACCCAATAAATAACAAACAGCACTATTTTACACAAATATAGCCAAATAAGGGATAGCACTCAAAACATAGCAAACCTTAAACTTTATTTATGCAGTGATATTAATTTATTTAAATTTGTTTTATGGCTCATGACCTGTTAGAATTTAGAAAGTACAGTAAACTCTTATGATTGGTGAAACTCTACACGTAAATGTAAACACAAATCACAATAATGAAACTTCCTAGAATATTAAGTCTCTTCATCGCCTCGTAAGCATAACATAAGTGGAGGGTTACAGCGGAAGTTTTCTAAATATCTTCCGGTTTTAGGGAGCTTTTGTTTTGTTGAAAAAATACCAATATTAGCTTTTAATTTATTTCATTTTAACGGCTTTTACAATCTATTCAATAGTAATTGATTTTTAATATGATGTGGGCAGCTGTCAGGTTCCCATTAATGTCCTTTATGTTTTTATGTATAATTTGCAGAATCGAAGATGAGGATGGAGACTTTTTGCTTATTGAAGCTGCTGAATGTTTACCAAAATGGTTGAATCCAGATACAAGTGAGAACAGGGTAAGCTGATACTTGATTAAATTTAAATCAATTTTGTATTTCTGGAAATAGTGAAATTGTTTTGTTTTTTTTTTGTAACTTTAAATTAAAGTTTGAATTGATAAGGAAAATTGTTTCCTGGATAAGCTAATATTAATTATGAAAAGAATTAAATATCAAAATTAATCTAAGTTATATTTAAGAAAAATTTAAAAATTAATATCTTTAAACTGTTTTTAACAGGAGTCCTATTTATAAGAAGGCTCATTTTTGCCATCCGAGTTTTTCACGCACTTTGGACAGAATTGGCAAGGTTTAGGACAGAATAGATGAATCCACAGCTTAAGCTATCTTGTCCAAAACCCCTTTGTTCAAAACCCTTTTATTAAAATTGTCACAATTTTAAAAAAATACTGTGAAAACTAAAATTTTGATTTTTGAACAAGAAACAACCGGAAGGCAAGTTTTTGTTTTATTAAAAAAGTTTATTATTATTTTTAATATTACATTATTTATCCTTATGCAAAAGACATAATTTATCAGCATTGAAAGCATATTTATTCATATTTAAAGGATAAGGTATTCAATGAATTGTGGAGCTTCAAATCTTATAAATCTTTTCCCATTGTATTATATTTTCCTTTAATAAATTAAAGCAAATTGTATTAAAAATATCAAATATTTATTAATATATGTAATTTTATGTACAATGGTTTCAGACTTCAAAGTTCGTGGATTAGGACACTTTAAGACAATTTTAGTCAGTTTAAGACAGTAAAACCCACATGTCCTGTCCAAAACCAATTTAGGACATCTAAAACTCCAACCCTGACTTTGAAAAATGGTTGATAGCTTTTCATTTAGTGATGTAGCTAATTTTACCGAACTTAAGGCCAAAACGTTAGTATATGCCTCATATTTTTTCTTCATGTAAACGAAACCTAGTTCTGAAGAGCGCCAAGACACTTCTTCTTTCCTCAAACATACATGCAAAACCGAACTAATTAGATAGTAAAACAGATTCAACCTCTTTCCTGGCTTTTTATGTCTCCCTGTGAAGCAAATATTTATATTGAAAACAAAACAGTTAAAAGATTTCACCCTGTTCTAGTTGTGTATTGTTTTAGCGGGGATGGTCGCAGGACAAGGAATTCTATCGATCTTGAAAAATCAGGTGATTTAACTAAAACACACAAAAAATCAGGAGGAGGTGAATAAATTTGCATTTGAAATGCCTTATATTTAATAATTTTTCTAAACAATAGGTTATTTTATTTTGATTTAGCTTTAATGGGATGAATAAGTGTTTTGTAGTATATTTTGTGTCTAAGAATAAAGCCCATGAAAAATTCATAAAGGAATTTATGGCACTGATTGCAAAAACAGGGTCTGTCTAGGTTTTTCTGAAAGGTACCTATTTTGCAAAAATTTAGACTTAATTTGTGAAAAATTAAAAATTATATTAAAAAATCAATACAAAAATATTGTAAAAATATCGATTTATCGTTTCCAAAGGGATACAAAATAAAATTTTAAGAAAAAGTATTTTGCGAAGCTGCTGTTTTTCCTAAAATTGAATTTGTGAAACTACCGTTTTTCCTAAAGTTGAATTTATGAAAGTACCGCTCAACGGTAGTAAATTCGACATGGACAGACCCCTGAAAAAGTGAGGAGATTCTATAAAATTGCTCTGAAAAAGTCAGAAAAAAAAAATTTCTGGAAAAGTCAGGATATGTTTTTTATTTACATGTGTAACAAAGTTAACTTCCAACAGTATTTTTCTTCAAATTTGCATTCTGAGGAATTTTTATTGTTAAAGTTTTTTCATAGATTCTATATTGCAGACTTCTTTTCTTTTATTGATATCTCATTTTTTTTTAATTCATTAATTTATTATTTTCAATACAAATTTAAATAACTGCCTATTTTGATTGCACACTATTTTCAATTAAGTTTAAATTGTATTAATTTTTTTATGTTCTTGAATCAAAATGAATTAAATAAAAGTAATTATGAAGTTTTGTATTTATTGATTTTTGGTGAATTTTTTTATTTATTGATATCTGAGTTTTTCAAAGAGATTTTTTCAAATTTATTGCTAATTATTAATGCTTCATTGAAAAGCAGTTTTTACATAATGTTTAATTAAAGCGTGAGCAGTATTTTCCCTACAGCACCAAAAACTTACATGTTTTTTCCTTTTGTAGCATTTAAAATTGTTAATGCAAGAAATGTTAAAATTTCACTATTTTTCATTCTTTTCAACTTTTATTCTGCTTATCTCATTTTCCTCGTCATCTGTCACATTCAAGGAACCAAGGGTTGGGGTTTTGGGCGTCCTAAACTGGTTTTGGAGAGGACACATGGGTTTTACTGTTTTAAACTGTCTTGAAGTGTCCGATAACTTGAACCTTTGGTAAAAGGTAATTCTACATGTGTAACCATTATACACATAATAATTACATATATTAGTAAGTATTTGATGCTTTTTATACGACTCACTTTAACTTATTAAAGGAAAATATTATAATAGGAAAAGATATATAATTTTTGAAGCTCCACAATTCATTGAACAACTTTAAATCTGAATAAATATGTTTTTGATACTGATAAATTATGTTTTTGCATGATAAATTATGCAATATTAAAGATAATAATAAACTTTTTTAATAAAACGAAAACTTTTCTTCGATTTGTTTCTTGTTCAAAAATTTAAATTTTATTTTTCGCAATGTTTTTTTTTTTAATTGTGGCATAATTTGAGTAAATAGGTTTTGGACAGGACGGTTTAAACTGGGTTAATCCATTCTGTCTTAAATTTTGCCAACTCCAAATTCTGCGGCAATGTGGCCGTGGTGCTTAGGTCTTAGATAAAAGTGTGCTGCTTGATTTTCTTTTATCTTGTTTACCTCTTTTTAGAATTTCAATATTCCATTTTATATCTTTGATATTTTTTTCTATCCATTTACTTGTTGAATATCTGTAAAAATAATCCAAATCATCAGAAAATTAATGTCTTTTTATTAAAACTTAGTAATCTAAAAAATTTATATTTCATAAATAAATTTCTTTTCATGCTGTTTGAAATACATATGCTTATTAATTGTCAATAATATAGTAAACTCTTGATTATCTGTGGTCAATGTTCAGTCTTGTTTTTTTACAGGGAAAGGCATCTATTCTGTTGATGGTAATCTTAATCCTATAGAAAGTAAACAAATTTTTGTTTTTTAGGTATTTATTTATCAAGGCTCCTTGCACATAATTCCCTTTGAAGTCTTACCAAGTGGTACGCCTTCTCTCTTGGATGCTTTGACAGCTATTCAGAATTTCTCCTCCACTACAAAAGCCGCAAACAGTGTTCGAAAAGTTATTCAAAACAGGATATCTGGGTAATTTGTTTTACAATAATTTGAAATCCATTTTTAGGCACCAAATTTATTCTGTATAGTAAAATCAGGGTTGCCACTCCACAAGAAAAAACTGGAAAATACAGAGAATTTAAAAATCATCTTAAATAACAGTAAATTTTGAATTTTTCCTAACAAACTGGGAAAAACAGAGAATTGTGTCGTTTAAAAATGCAGACCTCTCAAATTGCAATTTATGGGTTATATATAAATGATAGTTCAGCTACATTAACACTTAACATACCAACACTTAATCTATACCTATTTCTACCATAGCCGGTCAAATGACCGGGCTTTATGTTTCTTGATTGAGTGTATGAAATATGGATGGCAGGAAGGATATAAGCTAAAAAAGACTTTATTATAATTAAACAAAATTGTATATTGACAATTTTTATCTATTACAAACACAAATAATAAGAATTTTTAGCCAGTCATTATATTAGTTAAAGATGTAAGTATTATGTAGAGTTAAGAGGAAATTTAAATTTTTTACAAAGGGGAAAAAAAGAAGTAAATGATTCAAAATTTCAACCATCGAAACTCCAATTAATGTGTTGATGATTGTGATTTTGAATTAGCGTATTTTTCTGGGTGATTTTCATATCTTTAATTTTCCTTTTTCTTAGATATCCTCATAAAATTGATGAATTCAAACATAGAAGTCATTGCTATGTGCCATGTTCAATTGCGGCTATTTTGAAAGAAGACCCTCAACTGGTTGCTCCTGCCGTCAAAGCATTTTACCTCAGAGACCCCATTGATCTTAAGGTTGGCAAAAAAAAATTGTTTGATACTTTTAAAAAGTAATTTCATTTTGCTTTAAGATTCTTATTTTGATTCATTCTATTTTAAATTTGTATTTTATGCCTCAAACATCTGTTTGTTACTCAGTAGGTTAATCTGTTTCCAAAACTGTATGTACTATTACTCTTAGCAATGCTAGGGAACTTCTCTCTCATTCATTTTGTCTTTTCCTCTTCCTTTTTTAATTTTGTCTTCCCATATGCTTTTATTTATTTATTATTGCATTCCCCATCTTTTACGTTTTGTTTTCCTTGTCTTTTTTTTTTCCATTTTGTCTCACTTTTTTTTTAATCCTTTTTGCATGACATTCCTTATTACATTTTATTTCCTTAACCTTTTTTTTTTCAGTATTTTTTTTTTTTTTTTAATTTAGATTTTTTTTTATTGCTCTTTTTATGTTTTCCTTTTTTTTCACCTTTAATTTTTGCTGTCATGTGTTTGTAACACCCTTCAATTTTACAAATTTTTGACTTAACAGTAAATTTGACCCTTAAGCCATATCTCGATTCAATCGAATCTGGAAACGATGCCAGTTTTTATTACAAAAGTTCCACCTTGCTCATTGTAATCCATGTATTTTTTTTTTTTAGTGTAACAGTAATTGACAGCTGTTATAGTTTAAAGTAAATAATCCATAAGTAATCTTAAAGATAAGTTGAATTGTTTGATCGATTCTATTTTGTGAAGAATACAATTGTACGCTAATAATTTTGTGCTTTTGCTGTACACATATTTCCTTCCGTTCTTGTGAAAATGAAAGTTCAATTTCAGCCTGTGTACTTTTTAAGGTACAGAGAAACCTCTCGGGAGCCACCACTCTCTTCTTCTTCTCATTGGCACGACAGCCCAGGATGGGCCTTGGCCTTCTCAACAAGCCTATGCCAAGACATTCTTCCCTTAGCCAAGGTTCTCCAGTTAATTATCTTTAAAATTTGTAGGTCCTTTTCAAGGCAGTCTAAAAATCTTAGGTTTGGTCGTCCTCTTTTTCTTGTACCTGTTGGCCTGGCACAGAAAACTTTTTTGGTTGTCCTGCTATCCTCCATTCTTATAATGTGGCCTGCCCATTTAATCCTTTGAATTTTGATACATTTAATGACATCAGGTTCTTTATATGCTTTGTAGAGTTCCGTATTTGATCTTCTAAACCAGGTACCGTTTTTACTTATTCCACCAAAAATGCTTCGCAGTATTTTTCTCTCAAAACTAGCTATCATATTTTCATCTCCACAGGTCATTGTCCAGGTCTCACATGCGTATGGAAGCCACCACTCTCTATTCTTCATTAAAATGGTTGTTGATGGAGGTTAGCCGTTCTTAGAAGTTACCTGCATTGACTTCAAAATTGTTATCGAAAGTACAGGATTTTCCACAAACGAATTTGTTTTTACTCAGCGTTATTTTCTTGGTGCTGAAATGCCACTTCCTTTGACATCATGAGAAGACAGATCTATGAATTAAACTTCAGAAATTATTAACTTTATTAAACGACAAAGAATATAATTGGCAGGCCACATTATCAGAATGGATGAAGACCGTACCACAAAAAGAGTTTTCAGTGCCAAAAAAGGAGGCAGGCCGAATTTGAGATGGATAGATGGCCTAGAAGAAGACCTTTACTAAAAACTCGAAATCGCTATCAAGAAAAAAGTTAATCTGAGAAAAACTTCTTAAGAAGGCCAAGGACCACCCTGGGCTGTCGTGCCATTGATGATGAATTAAATTTGGCGTCTGTGAAAATTATCCCTATTGATAAAGCTATGATAAATAAACAGTTTTGTTTAAGTTTACATTTAATTTTATATCATAAAAATTTGTTGACTTCAAAAGAGGAGAAGAAGTTTGTTTGAGACGCTTGTCTTTTCTAAAATAAAAAATAAAAAAAACTTTTTTTTTTCTAATTTAACTTTCTACTCTAGAAATAAATCATAGATAGCATCGTCTTTAGTGCACTCTGACTGCAAAATGAGGTTTTAAGTGACTCACACAAATATTTAAAATACATTTTAATCTACTTATTTGTTTTGATAGTTTTTCATTTTTCCTCGTTTGCATTTAGTACAGATGTTTTCTCAGTCGCTGGGAGCCTCCTTAATGGTCTCTCCTAGAAGTTTTCTTCAATATAAAGTCTATGGAAAAAATTCCGTGCCTCCCTAAAATGGTTGTGAATAGAGGTGGTCCTTCCTGCAGGTTTCGTTGTATAATAAAATTTATCAGGATTATAGTCCAAGATTTTGCATTTTTATCATTTTCCTTCATTTTTTTTTTTTTTTTTTTTTTTTTTTTTTTTTTTTTTTTTTTTTTTTTNTTTTTTGCTTTGTCTGAAAATGCTAAAAAAGTTCAAAGAAATTTGATCTTTTTTTAAATGCTTAAAAAGTAGTAACACATTTTTTAGTTGATTATGATCAGAAGTGCATTTACTAGTGTTTTTAATTTTGTGACTAACATACTGTGGGATCATTCTCCTGTGAATAAATTATTGTGGTTAATGAATATAATTGTAAATGGTTCTCTTTTTCCCCTTTTCTTTATCTAAAATATGTTGGAAGCCCTGTATTAACTATTATTGTATTGTATTATATTTTATTATTTACCCTGTATTAAAGGAAATACCCTGTACTGTAGGAAAGCGCTAACAGGAAAATGGTTAGCTTGGAAAAAACTTGAGAAGGCCAAGGCCCACCCTGGGCTATCAAGCCATTGTTGATAATGAATTAAATTTGGCATCTATAAAAATGATGTAGTTATGTGCAAAACAAAATTTTCCAGTTACGATTGATGAAGCTATAATAAATAAACAGTTTTGTTTTTTTAGTTTGCATTTAATTTTATATCATATTATTGTTTATTGTATTGCTGTTAAATTCTTTTTTTTTTCTTTTTCATGTGTGTAGGCTTGTATGGCCATGAAATATTTTGCTCCAGAGACTTGTGTAATGACTGAGGTAAAGGAAATTATTCTTGATTTAAACTAAATTTAAAAACATATTTTAAAAATAACATGTTATAGATAATAGATCACATGTAGAAAGAATTAAAAATGGCATTCCGTGTGCGGTATAGGGACCCTGTCAGCAGCACTATTGTCCATAGTTTCAACACTGAGATTATTAATATTGTAAAAATTATGTCTATTCTTACACATACTTAACACAATTTGAAAACATTTTAATAAAGTTATACTTAAAAGCTTTGTTCTTTGAGGGGAGGCGTACTTTATGTTTTGAGAAAACTGTTTGTCTATTTTAAATTACATTTATATAAAAATATAGATATATATATAAAAGATAAATATGCGTATATACATAAAACTTAAATGCCCCGCCCCCCAACACGCTATGCCTATGAGCCCAAAAAAGAAATCAGAAAGAAAGGTTTAACTTGCAAATAATAATACTATTAACATAAATTGTTTTCAGTTTAACATAAGAAATTAACACAATTGTAATTTATGGTGTTGCGATTTGTGCCTGAAGCTTCTTAAAATGTATCGTAACTTTTTGTCTAGCCATTAGGAAAAAAAAAGTTTCTTTAAATCTAGATTTCTCTGTATATGTTTCTATATATGTGTGTATGTACATACATATATATATATATAATAAATGGGGGATTAGGCTCCACAATTTTATGACAAACAGCATAATTGTTTGTGGCCAGCACAGGCCGCCCTCACCTCCTAGGCAAGCTGGGTAGGCCTTAAGTAGTCAAGCTGGGTTGGCCCCAGTTCTACACAATGACAGTTTAGTGTCTTAACATACATATATATATATATATATGTATGGTGAACATATACTTATTACGATATTTTAATTGCTTAAAAATATTTTTTGAGTGCTTAGAGGGTGCTTATTTCGTATTAAAATTTGGCTACCTATTCAAGAAATCTTGTCATTTTCTTCCTCTTGTTTTCTGTACTTAATTCAACTTTACATTGTTTAAAATTAAAAAGAAAAACCAGTTGTTATATCTATCTTCAGTTGCTTTCCTTAAATTTTTATTCTAATTTAATTTTTTTTTATCTGATTTGCCGAATTTCAATTATGTATGAATTTTATTACAGTTAAGTACAAATTTAATGCAAGTTAATCATGTAGAAATATTTTTTAAGCATCTCTTTAACTTTATGTAATAAAATTGAGTTTCAATTGCCATTTATTCCTTAACTAAACAGCTCAAGATAACACAGGAGCTTTTTCAATCTTTTACAAAATAATTGGGAAGTTAAAGGTTAAAAAGAAGAAAGTATTTTTAATAATTCATTAGTTTAAATCTCAATTAAATATATTTCTCTTAATTGAAAATGTTTTCATTCAGTTATTTTGTGAGGAAAATACTTATAGCAAATGAACCCATGGAATTTTTTCTGTATTTAGTAAAGAATTCATGTTATTAAGACTAATTTATGTTTGGTAAAACTTTATTATGTTGCAAGAAATATTGAATTGTTAACATTCCATTGCCTAAAACTAATAAATATTTAATGCTAGTTATGCATTTTTATTTTATGCTAGCGTATAAATGTGAAAATGATAATTTGGCATTGGCGGCTGGTTTAGTGCAAATATTGAAGACTTGCTAATTTCTTTTGAGTATTTATAATTTTGCATATTTGCATTTTCTAGGTTGTATTCACAAGGTGCCTGTATGCTCAATTATCCAGTCAGGAATATGAACCAGACAAAAGAACCGGTTGGAATCTCCCTTCTCCCAGTAGTGCACAGTTGAAAGCTTGCAAACTCGGCATGAAGTTGGTGAGATACAGAATTTTCAATTATCATACGACATCAATATTTTTAAGCACATTAATTATTATCATTGAAAAGTTTGCAGTGTTATGAAAAATATTTATTTATTTTGAGTGAATGTCAAAAAATTGTAAAGAATTATCGTCTACCCTTTGTGAAGCTTTGTTTTATGTAGAATTTTATGTTTTCACCTCTCGTGAAACTTTTGAAACAGATCAATATTAATATTTTAAAATAGATTTTAAATTCAAATAGATTAGAACACAAAAATATGCAGTTAAGTATGCACTATTTACAGGGGGGGGGATTTTTATTGTTAAAAGCAATGGAACTAATAACTGTCAAGTTTATAAATTTTGGTTTAGTTTAGAAAGGCTGTAAAGTGAACACGGCTTATGAAGAATTTCATTCTGTAGATTTATTAATGTATTATTAGCAAAGGTTTAAAATTTGAAGATTATACACACAAAAAAAGAAAATAGTATTATTTAAATCAAAATATAAATTTTCTGTAAGAAGATGTGCAATATAATTTTAAATTTATAATTATCAACATAGCTTTAATTTTTATGAAGCTAAAATAGCAAAAAGATTCTGTGGTGAGTTTTTTTAATGTAAATATTTTTGCAAAGGATTTCTAAATGAGGTTTTAAAATAATCGCATGTTAAAAATCATCAGATATATTTCAATTCTGCTTAAAATCCTTCTCTTTATTAGCAGCTTATAATTATGATTATGTTTTTAAAGTTATTTTAAAAAAATAAAATAAAAATTCCATTATAGAAATAGCATTAATTTAGATTTATTTCTTTTATTTTCAAGGCATGTGGTTTTGAGATTTTGGCTGCTGGTGTTGATAAACTGATAGCAACAGATGATGAACTTGATTATAATTCGGATGTTAGATGGAAGCGTTTCTTAAAAAGCCTTCAAGATAGAGGTTACTTTCGGGTGAGTTAGGCCCTTGATGGTTTGTAAATCAATTTTTTTTTTTAACCTTCTGAATTGTGTTATCCAAACTAGCGACTTTAGAGGACTCACTCTACTTTTGAAGGCATGAATTTAAATAGATGTGTGAATTTAAAATCAGAAAGCACATATGTATATTGTCATTTTTCATTATATTACAACTGACAGTTATGCAGAAGAAGTTTCTTAAGAATTGTGTCTTGAATATTTAACAGAAAAACACTATCCCTCATTAGTTTTAATTTTTCTTACTGTTTACAGATTAATTAGATTGCTTACTAATAAAATAAATTGTCTTTAAACCTTTTATCATAGTGCGTTGCATTTTTCAAAAGTGCTTAAAGATGCTTATTTTCGTTTTTTAAAAGCTCTTAAAGGTGCTTTTTTCATTGGGTGTTTTTAAAAAGTGTCTAATTTTCCCTTTTCGACGATGAGATTTTTTTCTTTACCTTGTTGATTTTCGTCACGTATTATGCAAACGCGTGCTTTTAACATTTTTCTATTCAGCGTTTTCTCAATTAATTCGGCCACAATCTATGTTGACGTCCCGTCAGTCCATGGCGTATAAAAGCAACAATAATTTTACATGTTTGATGAAATACTTGCCGAGTCCACGTGTGTGTCTACTGAGCTGAGGTCGGTGAGATTCTTGCACTCTCGTGTACAACTCTATTGAATTTTGCATGATATTCTCAATTTCTGGCTACATTTTCCACTGTCATTAGGCAACACCTCCTAGAAAGGAGTAGGCCTCAGCACGGGTTACCGTAAATATCCTTTAGTAATCCAAACATAATGACATATTTCATATTTTCAACCACTGCGCAGCTTAGTACCCCAAACGTAATGACATCTTTCTTATTTTTCATCTATTACTCAGTTAACTTCGTCACATTGGACTACTAAATTGATCCATGCTGAGGCCTTCCTTCTTCTAGGAGGTGTTGCATTAGGTCATACATCATAGGTCACACCCAAAAACCTCATGATCTTTTTATAATGGCTAATATGATCAAGAAAAGAGTTCTTTATGAGAAACTGGTTATTTTATCATGATCATATAAAGTCTTAAAAAATTATTTTTCATTTTGTTAATGTATATAGTGCTCTAAAATATTTTTGAGTGCTTTAAAGGTGCATATTTTTTGTTTGCTTCAGAGTTATTCATGAAATAAAATTTTAAATGAATGTTTTATTCTTAATGTCCAAGATAAAGCAAGTTATCACAAAATAAGTTTTAAGAAAAAGTATGTATATTTTTTTTAAGAAATCAATTTTTTTTTCTTCTAAGAGTTACAGGATTTAGTAGCCCATCTTTGATAAGACCCGGGGATCTCTTTTTCATGTCTATGACTAGACAGACCAGATCAGTGACTTGAAAGGTTGTCTTATATTTTTTTTAATAAATTATCTTTTTTTTCCTTTGCTTCTAGGTTTGTTCAACTTAATTATAATTTTTAACTTAATTATAATTTTTCTTTTTTGTATTGTTTTCTTTATTCTTACATAGTTCTCATTGTAAAATTTAATCGTAATTTTTAATATTTCTTGTGAAATGGATTTTTCAGGGAGAAATTGAAGGCACCCCCGCATATCAGCGACTTCTATTTCAAGCTCAAGATTTTTATGTGTCTTCTTTGAGAAGAAAAGACAACTGCAATCAGCATCCAGGATTGCGCATTCAAAAACTTCTGCAGTCTGTGAATTTCAAATACGAGGAAATGGTAGAAAAAGAGAAGCAGTTGAAACCTCCAGATGGTATTATTGGCACTTTTCTTTTATAACACAACTGTGTTTTATAAAATCATTTTCAGTGTTACGTAGTGTTTTGAAAAAGTGCTTATTTTTTATTTACGTTTTTTAAAACCCCTTAAAATTGCTTTTATTATTTGGGGTTTGTAAAAATTGCTTAATTTTCTATCTTTTAAAAGATATTTTTTCTTTCCTGTGTCGATTGTCGTTCTAAATTACAGAATTAATTTTTTCTGCAATATTTATCAGAGAGTGGTTATTTTATCATGATTCTGTAAATTTTGTGAAAATATTTTTGAATTTTATTGATTTTATGTTTAAATAGAAAAAGTAATTTTTGTTACTGCACAGATCCTAATTATGAATTTTTATTTTTGGAAAGTGATTAATTATATTTTTGGAGTGCTTAAAAGGGGCTAATTTATTTTCATAAAACTAATGATATATTTGATCGTTTTTTTATTCTTTGTCTTATTTTGGCCATCAAATAAAAAAATTTATAAATTACCTCAATTCATTACTTTTTTGGAAAATATCTTTAATCTTAATTAAATGAGACATTTTAAAAAGAGAATCACTACCAGTGAAGGTATTTTTAAATTATTTAACTCATATTTATTATCATTATCTCTTTTTTTTTAAAAAAAAACAACATATTTTTTAGTTTGTTGATAAGCAATTTGCTACTGTGTATTTTTCAAAATGCATAAAAACTATTCAAACTGTTTGATTTAGATTACTAATGTGGCTTTTGAAAGGGTGATTCATTAATTAATTTTTATGAAGTTATATAGTATGTTTCTATGTTGTTCGTGAGCATATTATTAGTTATGTATTCAGTTTTGGTATTTTTTTTATATCCATGTATATTATTATATGACGCCATGTGGCTGAGCGGTAACGCTTCGCGCTGCCGTGCCTCATGCCCCTGGTTCGGGCCGGGCGAGGTTGACTCAGCCTTTCATCCCTTTAGTGGGTCGATAAGTGAGTACCAAGCATGCTTGGGAACTGAACACTGGGGGTTCCGCGTTCGGCTGACCACCTGACTGGAGCATCTGCTCCGTCACCCCAGAGCCCAAGGTCAAGAAAACTGAGATGGGCACAGTAGGCCTTGGTCATTAATGGGCTGTCACGCCACTGAGTTTAGTTTATATTATTATATCCATGTCAGCTTAATTTTTCCTGCAGTAATTGAATCTCAATAATTTAAACTTTGCGCTATTAGCATCTCATTATTCAACAACCTTTTTGAAATGACCTTTTCTACCAATTAATAAACCAATCCTCTTTTTTTGAAATCTTGTATTAAACTTGATACTTCTCATTCCATGAAGCATTCTATTATTAATTAAATTTTCTGCGAACAAAAGACACGGTGCGTAGCATTTTTAAAAAGTGCTTATTTCCGTTTTTAAAAGCCTTTAAACAGGGTTTTTTTCCTTAGTATGTTTTTAAAAAGTGCTTGATTTTTTCCCTTTACAAAAATTAGTTTCTTTTCTTTTGCCGTGTCAGCTTTTGCTTCGTATTATCCGTAGCGTATGCAAGCACCAATGATGGAATACTTGTGGATCCGCATGTGTGTCTACTGATCTGGGTTAGGTGAGATTCTTGCACTCAGTCATGTGCAACTCTGCTGCATTTTGCAAAATATTCTCAATTTCTGGCTTCATTTTCCATCTTCTGAGATCGAACTTCGCAAAATTTCTCTATCTTTTTATAGTGGCTCATGTAATCAAGAAAAGAGTTCTTTGCCAGAAACTAGTTAATTTGTCATGATCATGTAAAGTCTTTGAAAATTATTTTGTTAATGTGCATAGTGCTTAAAAAAAATTTTTAAGTACTTAAAGGTACTTATTTCTTGTTGAGGCTATGCACACTGGTCAAAGTTTTTTTTGCTTTCCTTTATTGTTCATTATTAGAATTTTATTGTGTTTACGTATGATAATCTTTTTTTTCCCCGCTGATGTATTAGAACTTGTATTTTTGAAATGACTGGCTTAATGTCAAAAGAAAATCTTGTTTTAGATGATAGTTGGATGGATATTACTCCTGAAGTGTTGGATTCTATGTTAGAGAAAATGGCAAAACAACAGCAACCGGCTGAAATAGCTGAGAGCATAACGGGTGGATTGAAAACCTTTCTACAACAGGAATCTGGATTAGATGGTGTTGCACCTAAAAACACCAAGAAGCAGAAAATAAATTTTGATGCCGACGCTTTTACAGAATCTGTCAACAAAATACTTGGTAAGAAATTTGGTCAGTGTTTTGTATGTCTGTGTGTATATATGCAGGGTGCGTAGCATTTTTAAAGGTGCTTATTTTCGTTTTTTAAAAAGTGCTTAATTTTCCCCTTTTCCATGTTGGTTTTTGTTAAGAACTATGCAAAAAGTCACAGTTCACATAGTTCTATTCAACGTTTTCATAATTAATTCAACCCTAATCTATTTCGGCTTATTGTCAGTCTGTAGCGTATGAAAACGCCATCCGTTCAACATGATTAAAAATGTCATGAATTTTGACAATTGTCAAAAATCGAACCTAATTGTGATTTTATTTAAAGTGCTTAAAAACATTATTTGAGTGCTTGAAAAGTGCTTATTTTTGGTTGAATAATTTGGCTATTTACCCTGATCTATTTGGGACAAAATTACTTAAGCATCTAAATTCAAAAGGGGGTTTGCATATTTCTAATGACAAGGGGAGAAAGAGGCGCAATGCTCATATAAGACACTAAATCTTCAGAACAAAATTTAAATAGAAGAATTAACCGAAATTTGGGGGGGAAATTACACTAAAAATTGAAATAAAGATTAAACTTGAAAGAAAAAGTAGGAAAAATAATTCTTTAAAGAGTTTTAAAATTTTATGAAATAATTAATTTTTTTGCAGAAAGTTTCTTTTATTTTTTTTATTATGTTCTTAAAAATAGATGGTAGCGAGTGCAAAAATGTTGAAATTAGAAAAATTGGTGGATTATAAACTTTAGAAGTATATTGTTTTAGAAAAAAATGAAAGTTTTAACTTAATAGTTAGTCTTTTTTAATAATTTTATGGTTCAAAACAAGGGTGCAAAAAATTTTTAAAGCCAGATATTTTTCCAAAATACAGTTTAAATTCCCCTAAAATCATAAGGCTCTTTTTGTAGTTACAATAACATTTTCAAAGTATTTTTTGTGAGTTGAATTTGTATATTGTTAAAATAAATTTTTTTGCATTTGTATTTAATTAATAAATTGACATTATTTGAGTTATATTTAACATAAGACAACAACTTCATTCTTTCCTTTGTAGTCCAGCATTGGACTGATCATTAAAACAGAGTTCCCAGTAAATCACCATAGTCAGGCATCACTGCCTGTGTTCAGTGTGTGGGTGGGTGACGACTTCGATCAGGGTGTGAAGGTACCGAGGTTTTGCGGCATCGGTCCTCATAAAACTGTTCTACCATAGAGTCAGCCCTTAAAAGTGCTTTTTTTTTTATTCAGGATTTGTAAAAAGTGCTTGATTTTCTATCTTTTTCTATCTTTGTTGTCATAAATTACAAAAAATTCATGATTTTTACAATTTTTTCTGAAATAATTATCAGAAACTAGTTATTTTATCATGATTATGTAAAGTTTTTGAAAATGTTTTCGAATTTGATTGATTTTATGTTTATAAATTAAGAACTTTAAAGAATGGACTTTAAGATTAAAAGAAAAATGATTTACATTAATGCACAGATCCTAATTATAATATATTTTTTTTTTTTTTGGAAAGTTATTAAAAATATTTTTTGAGTCCTTAAAAAGTACTTAAAAGGTGTTTATTTTTTGTTGAAAAATTTAGCTTCGCACACTGTCTAGTGTGACATGAATAAACTACTATTAATACTAATTTCCCTCTTAAAATAGTTTTTTCCTGGTTGGGAAAGGGGATGTGAATAACACTTTTTTCCTTCAAGGTTGATGATTCAAGGCAATTTAAGAGTTTTAAATTATCATTGTCATTGCTTTTTCCTCTATTTATTTATAAACAGTTTAACTTAGTTTTATTTTCCAAACAGGCTTTAAGAGTTGTGGGAATTTAAATTATCTCAACAAATGATATTTTTTAAAAGATCGTGTTATTTTTAGAAGCATTTTACCAATTTTCAAAACTTAATTTGTATGTAATTGTCTAGCTGTAAAAGAGTCTTTTTTTTTTAATTCTAGATTTTAGAATACCTGAAATGGCAGGGGATAGCTCGAGTTCATCAATGGATGGCTACTCTGACGATGATGATGGTGATGTTTCTCTTAGCAACAACTGTACTGGTCAGTTAGGTTTTATTTATTGGACAGTGTTCTGGAGTCTATTTTATTTAATAACATAAATAGCAGTCCCGCAGTGGACTGATAGTAAAGATACAGTTTCCAGTAGACCGCTGAAGTCAAGCATCACTGGCTGCGGTCAGTATGCGAGTGAGTGACCATTTTGATCAGCCTGTGTAGGGACTGAGGGTGTGCGTATCAGTCCTCATTTAACTTTTCTACCAAGAACTGCTCAACTTTGCACAGGTTGTCTGGCTACCAAAGCATGATAGCCGTCCCCTCTGCAGAGGATCAAAATTGCCATGGCATGTCTTCCGATCATCCTCAGGGATGTATCCCAGATCGTTGCCAATAGTCCATTAGTGCGACGAAAATTACCCACATAAATAGCAATATCTTAATTATTAATTTGCTAATTGATATTTTTAGAATTTCTGTATTATAGTTTAACCTCTGCCAATTGTTCCTCATGGAACCATTCCTTGTAAATAATAGATACTGGAAATCGACAAATTTAGATCAGCATAAAATATATGAACTTGAAAATTTTTGAAATATAATAGACTTGAAAGTTAATAAAAGTATAAACAAAAATTTTATTGCAAAAGATATTAATGGGGCAAAAAAAATGCATATAAACTCATTTCTTTATTATTTAAAATAATCAGAAACCAGGCAATTTTCACCATTTGTTACAGTGTGAACACATCATTTCAAAGGCAGATGTGGTTCAATCTTTAGCTTTTACACCCACTTCAGCAGTTTTATCAATTGCTGTAGTGTTAGTATCAACATTTACTAAACTCAAAACAAAACTAACTTAAATGCATTTTTTAATTGATGGATGTTTCAAGAACAATCTAAACAGATTTTACTGACATTATAAGAATACCACTTGCGATGGGACTATTAAAACAAGACAATAGATCAACTGTATTTTATTCATAACAATATATTCAATAGTACTTTGTTAGCCAAATTAAATTTTTAATGAATATTTTTCAAAGCTTTGATAAAGTTTAGACTTAGAAAAAAAGATTTTTTAAAAAATAAGGCTTTTTTTTATTTTATAGAAAAGCTTGGTTCTGAAGTTCTCAGTGAACAGATGCAGTCTTACATGGAGGAGATGGATCGAGAACTCGCCAAAACGAATATTGGCTTAAGTTTTGAAAAACTACCACAGCCGACAACAAAGAAGGTAAAAAATTTCTTACTCATTTTTATATCCTTTCATAGTGTACAGTGTGCAAAATAAAATTAATGGACCACCCTGAATAATGTTTGGTAAATGATCAGATCTTTACTTTATGTTATAAAGTCTTATAACTTAAAATACTTTCTCTGAATAAGCACATATCTTTTTTATGATAAATTCCAATCCCCAAAGTATAGCTGCAATCTGGGAAATGTGGACAGCATAGTTTGGTCGGGAAAGTGAGTGATTTCACAGTTGGGACCTCTTGAGACCTCACAAGAAAACTCAAATGTCTGCGGGATGGAGGATAGTGTAGGAAAAACTTGAAACCTTAGCTCTAGTGGTCAGTCCTTTAGAAATTTCAGTGGGTTGATTCATGATAATGGGGGGGGGGTCGACAGGTTTTAAAATGGCCTCTGTTCATTTCCGAGGCTTTCCTTTGGCAAGTTATCACTACTTTCTTGAGATGCAGCTGTCGGATGAACTAGAGTGGAGTGAAAAATTTTGCGAAAGGAATGCTCTTCCCTTTTTTTCCTTGTGGTCAAATGTGAATTTATTTTGTGAGGGGGTCAGGGGAATAAAGGAAAGAGAAAAAAGATGCTCTTCCTAAGAGTTGGATTGGAGTTAATTTAAGTATAAATAGTTTTAATTTATGCAAACATTAATGTTAAACATGAAGAACTTTCAACAATAAGAAGAAGAAAAATTTTATTACTCCACGTATCCTAATTATATTTTTTTAAAGTGTTTAAAATGTGCTTATTTTTTGTTGAAATATTCGGCTACACACCCTGTTTGTTATTTAAACATAATTAGTAATTATGAGTTGATAAGCTAATGCTTTTAACAAGCTGGAGGATAGATGAGCAGTGAAATTAAACTTATTAAAAATTATACATTACATAATTTAACTGCGCCATCCAGTGGCTAAAATAATAAACATTGAATTAGAAAATAACTCAGAAAATATGTATTTTATAACATTTTTACTGTTTTTATAAGATGAAATCTTGATTGAGATTAATTATTTCAAAAATTAATTTTCTTTCTTAATACTGTTTATTTAAAATGATATTAATAATCACAAAATTTCAAAATGATGATCAGAGGGATCACTCACAAATTAATGCTTAGTTGCATCCGAAGTTAATGAAATACTTAATATTTTTATTTTTAAGTTCTGATTATTAAATAATATTAAAAAATTAAAGCTTTAAATCTTCTAATTGTCTCTTAGTCAAAATTTACTCCAATTGAAAATTTAATAAGTAGGGGACATTTTAGAGTAGAAAAGAGTCAGTTAACTTGTTTTTTAATTTAGTTCATATTTTGAAATGTTATAAATATTTAAATTAATAATTTTTATTGTTTTATTTGTAATGTTTTGTTCACATTTTAGAAAACATGTTTCTGAAGTTTTATATTGCTACCCAAAGCTTAGTTCTCCCTCCCCCTTCAAAACTATGGTGACATTTCTGTTAAATAGTTGTTTTTATTTTTACAGGTTATCCGCGCACCTGAAAAGTCATGAAAAATCATGGAAAGTCATGAATTTCAGTATTAAACAAAATTTGTCATGATTTTAACTATTTTTTAATAAAAANATCAGTGAATAGCATTCAGTTGTTAAGCTTTGTACCACAGATAGGGTATCTGCGCCCCTGGAAAGTCATGAATTTTGGTTTTGAACAAAGTTTGTCATGAAATATCATTATTTTAACTTCTTTTTTTAAAAAAAAAAAATCTTTTAAAGTCATGGATGAAAAATCAAATCTTTAAAATGGAATTTACCCCCTCCCCCTAATTTCACAGTTTTCTGAATATCTGAATTTGTAACAAAATCTTACTCGCAGTCAAATTTTAGTAAAATATAGACTGTTTTTATCATGTTCTTTAAAAATTATGTTCTTTCAAAAGAATGAAAGAAAAAACATCAATTCTGGAGCGCATTATCTTTTAAACTTCTGTAATTTCAGAATTTTTGTTATTATTATTATTTTTTTTTTTTTAATTTTATCAATTTAAAATTCTAGCTGAAGCAAGCCAGTCATTGACTGTTTTTTCTTTTAATTCTGAAATGAGAATAGAAAAATCAGGAGTATTTCTTTCCTTTCCAATAAACAAGAAAAGTATTTTCAGAATATAATTCTGCCGAAAAAAGGAAGCAAAAGATATTTGATTTTGTATTTTTTTTTTTCAGCTATTTTATTGCTTCAATTCTTTCTTTACTCTTTTTTTTGTTTTTTTTCCATTTAAAATCTATAAATGTGAAAATTTAGAGCATAACAGTTTTGGTTATACCTATCATTTAAATTAATGCAGGGTGCATACAGACTCCTTATACTCCTTGGAAATAAAGAAAGTCTCCAAGGAGTATGTGGAACTACTTAGATTTCCAAATTTGTCCTTAGAAACTCCTTAGATTATTGCGTTGCATCGATGAACTTACTAAGTCCGCTGATGAATTTGCTGTTCAAGCAGGGAAACTAAATGATATGACTTAGCTGTCAAAATCTAATAGTTTAAGAAAAACTTTCAAAGAAAAAAAATTTGAATTGCAAGAGTTAGAAGGAAAAAATAACAGTAAATAATTTTAATTTTACATGTTACTAGCAAACTTAATTAATAAGCTACTGTGATTTTTTTTTTTTTTTTNTTTTTTTTTTTTTTTTTTTGTATAAAATGCCTTATTTTATGTATTCGAATTTAAAAATATAAGATTAGTAGGTTTTTATGTTAATCTTTAACATCTGTACTTTAACAAGATTTATTAAAATATTTGAAACTGGAAAATGTATTTATGTGTAAAAGTGATAACTTTATTTATTTTTCTTGTTGAGGTTTGACAAAGTCAAAATTCATTACAAAAGGGCTAGAAAAAAATATGCAAAATATACATTTTTGCAAGTTCCTTATAATAACTGCTTTTTAATTTTAAAAAAAAACTGTCTAGTTATTTTTTGCACAAAGTTTTTAAATTTTTGATAAGCCCTTAAGATTTTGGACTACTTGGATACTCCTTGGATTTCTTCTTCTGATCTCTGTATGAACCCTGTTAATGGAATTATAATGCTCTTTCATCATGAAAATTCGTTATGTCATGAAAAATTCTAAGAATTAGTCATGAATTTAAAAATCTGAAATGTAGCAGATATCCTGCATATAGTTTTCATTTACAAATTTGTATTTTATGATGAAATTATTTTTGTAATTTAGGCTCCTTTAGCCAATTCAGATATTGATTCGGAAGACGATGACTTCCAACCGGTGGACGTTGATTTGAATGCTTTGAAAAATATTTTGGAATCTTATTCGAGTGAACAAGGAGTACCAGGGCCCATCAGCACTCTCTACACTTCAATGGGAATGCAACTCCCACACAATGATGCATCCTGAATTATTTTATTTGCTCATCAATCGCTTAAGTGAACAAATCTTTCTTGCCAAGTTAAGATATTGTAAATATATATTTGTGTTTATGTTGTCTTCAGATGTTTTTACATTTTTGTTTTACTCTGTATTCTAAGTGAGAGCAAAAGGCACTCTATTTATTTTACTTTAAAATTTTTACATTCAAAAATAAAACTTTCTGTTCTGAAGTTTGTATTTTTCATCATTTAATATTTATTCACTTTGTATTTTTATTAATTTTGTATTTGAAAATTGCATACTTTAAAATGATGTAAAAATTTGTATGCATTACTATTCGAAACTGTTTCAACTACTTTTAGGTAAAATAATTAGCAATAATAAATTTTTAAAAAAATTATGGACATTATCTTTAGTAAGGGTGCACAACCTTTTTGAGTGAAGGGCCACATGCACAGCAGATTGACCAATGAAGGGCTGCATGCCAAAGTATTTAGACAGACATGTTGACAGTGATTGTTATATGAACATTATTGTTCTAGGCACTAAATTCTTTTTCTTTTTTTTCAGTTAATCTTGTAATATATTTGCATAAAATTAAATTCTTTTGATTGTTGAAAATTAGAAACTGGTTACTTAGGGGGGGGGATTTTTTTGTATAAATTTAAATAATTAAAAACTATGGGTGATTTTAATCATATTACATAATACAAAAATCCATTTAAACATGAATTTTAACGTTAAAAAATAATAAATATTCCAGTTAATAAAATAAATGCAAGTTAAATAATTTGATTTAAAGAAAGTTTATAGGGTTGAAAATGATTAAAATTGAAACAAAACCCCTTCAGCGAAAAATAAGATTCAACTTTTAGTAGGGAACATACTTTAACTTTAAAACATTTATTTTAAATTAATTATAAGAGGCAGGGGCTGAGAGAGAGAAAAAAGACACTTACTATTTACAATTAATACACTTATATATTAACAATTAATTAAAATTTAATGATATACAAATCATTTCTTAGCATATGATCATAAATTATATAAAATGGTCTAAGTAGGTAGAAAATGGTTTAAAAAATTTCTCTATGGTTGTCCTGCAATTCGCAACATTTTTAAATATTGTGATAATTTTATTTACTTGATCATGTGATAACTTTTTCGAGCCATTAAATGAAAATGTATTGATTTTGTATAAAGGCTACTGTGTAATTTTGAATGTGCCAAATTCTTTCTGGAAAACAGTCTTTTGACAGAAACTGTTGTTGTGGGTAGTATTAAACTTAATCAGATAGTATTAAATTAATAATTGTTATGAGAATAGCTTATTAAATTCGAATACATTTTCTTTAAGAAACAAGTTATATATTCTAATTGTAAACCAGAGCCTGTTAATTATTATTTACTTTTTTACTACTATTACAATTTCCAAATCAGCTTAAAAATAAGTTTATTGCTCTGTTTATTGGCATTGCTGATATGAATTTAATTGAATTGATTAATCCTGTATCAGATAGCAGCAAAAAGCATCCAGGTAAAAAAATTATCTTTAAATCACGATACATAATAGTACGTATCCATTATCTGGAGTTTTCTGAATGGTGAAATTTTAATTGTTAGTCACTCTTTTGATTACTTAAGTCAGATTGCTAGATACTTTAGTTGACTTGAAAATTGAACAAAATTATTTCAATATATATCTAATATATATATATATATATGGAAAAATTTCAAAATTAACTGATTTATTAGAGAAAAGAATTAGGTGATAATGAGCCTTTTAAATCATTAGTTGTTAAAAACGAGTTTGAATGCAACAAATAGAAGATTTCGAAAAAAAAAACCATCAGTCAGGAGAAGTGCAGAAAGCGATTTTCCTTGGTCACTGAACGGCGAAAGGATGGCATATTTGTGTTCTTTTGTGACTAAGCCGAAAAGTGAAGTAAATAGATAGGCATTGACAATAGCAACTTATCTTGTTTGAAAAATACTAGGAATCTATTTCCAAGCACTATACGCCGCTATTATTTGCAACCATCCGGTAGTACTCTCATGTGATTAGTAGGTAAAGTGTGCAATTGAGTGCAGGTAGTTAAATAGAATTGACAATACACTCATTTGCAATGATAAATTTCACCCAGTCAATGGTTTATTCAAATAAATAAATAATTTAATTTAATAGCAATTTTAAAAGTTAATCTCAGAAAATAAAAAACAAACCCACCAGCTAAAAAGTACCACACCTTATTTAAACGTTAATTTTTGTGTCTGATTTGGTACTATTCTAAAAACAGTATTATAGCTGAATTATCCGATACTTATTTGTTTATGAAAATAATGTTTTGTCACCATAAATGAATTTAATACTGTTAAGAGCAGTATAAGTAAACTATTTTCATGTTTCAATATATTCCAGACATTTTATGTTGAGCAAAATATGGCTTTAAAGGTGTAGCATATTTATTGATAAAACCAGACATCAATCAAAATAGTTCAGATTCATATATTTCATTTATATGCATTTCAAAAAAAATTATTTAGGTATACTATTAAATAATACCAAAGATACCACCTACGAGAAATCTAGGTTTCCTAATTATTTAAAATAAATATATATCAGGGCTAGAAAAACCGCCCGTCCTCGGCGGTCAAAAATTTCCCGCGGACAACGAATTTCTCGAATCAGACGTCCGCGCGGACGGGCATTTTCCCGTTAATGTTCGTGATACACTTTCAATTTTTGTTATCTTACAAGAGTCTACCGCCTCACTTCTAAAATGACCCCTAATCTAGAAATCCCGTACAGCAACATACTGAGCATGGTGGATTAGTGTTTTTTCCGTCTGGGAGTACTGCAGCAGTTGAAAGGGACTTTTCAGCAATGAACTTACAAAAAAACACGTTACGTAAGCGTTAAACGCTATTATGAACATCCACCTAAATGGAAAACCCCTTTCAGATTTCTGTGCAGAAGCCTCTGTAAATCATAGGCTTGATTGTGAAAGTGGCAAACGTCATATTTGATTCATTTAAAAAGCGCAGTACCCTCGGATAAATTGACATTCCAGATGACTTGACCTTTTGTCATTTAAATTATTTCATAAAAGAAATAAATTATTTTATAAAAGAAATACTAAGTTTTACTATTAGTAACCTAGTATTTCTTTTATTACTGTATAATGTAATCCTAGTAGCTACTAATTCATTGTGTAATTTATATAAATGTTAGTAATAAATAAGAAAAAATAAATTTATTTAGAAGCGACGGGTAAGTTTCAAAGGAGGACGGGTATATTGTTGGACAAGCAGTCCTCGGGGACGGTTAAATTTTCTGAATTTTTTTGAGCCCTGATATATATAGTATATATATATATAATTTTTTTTCACCCCTTTGATGTTTGATGAGTATGATATTAAAGAGAAATAGCTAACATGCGCCCATTTTCGTTATGCGAAACGGAAAAACTTCTAAACTAATATAAATGAAGGAACTCATTATTTACTATTTAAAAAGCTTATATTACATTATGTATGAAAAGAAATTATTTTATTTAAGTAAATTTTATTTGTTAAACAATATTATTTGTTTCTGCTGCAGGTTTAATTTAGATCAATGAATAAAAATATTTCATTTAAAATAGTACGAACTCTGTAAAAAATGCTAACTGTTTTTTTTAAAAAAAATTCTATAATTAATATTTAAAAAAAAGAAAAGTATTACGATTTCCTTTTTTCAGTTGATTTCTAAATCTTTACTAACAAGCGTTAAAAAATCCAATAACTGCAAAAAACTCGGTTAACGTTATGATAGTCCTTACTCAAAATTGTAGTCATAATCTCATTAGTTCTAAAAATATGATGTAAGGCCGTTGCGGCCCAGGCTATAGAACATTCGCCTTTCGATGAGGTGAACCAGGTTCGAATTCCAGTGATGGATAATCAAACTTTCATACTATGGGTAGTCATCGGCTTCTTACAGTAATTTATAAACAGTAATTGCCAGTTTCAGAATCTCTTGCTACAGTTACACCTAAATATCTACGCATTTGGAAAGTTATTGCTGTTATTCTTCCACGGATTCAATTAAATCAGGAAAATAGTTCAAAGAAATATTTTTCTACTTAATTATACAAAAACATTTCCATTAACAAACTTCAATATAATCAAAACTTTAGTTGATTCTTAAAACTAAAGAGAACACGAGTTCAGTTAATATTAACTCATACGGAAAAAAAAAAAAAATTTAAATTTTTTGTTACTTTTAGAAAGCTGATCTTTCAACACATTTTCAAGATAAAAAAAATTTTTTGTATGACATGGGCATTTAAAAAATAATCAGTTTTAAGGAAAAATAACCACAAACTTTTTTTAAAAAAAATGGAGAAAAATAAATAAATATATAATTAAAAAGGAGATGTGGGATAAAAATCTCTTTATTCCCGCTTTTAAATATTTAACGAGAAAAATGATCTATAAAGGGGAAAAGTAAGCGATATTCACAAGCCGATTGTTAGTTTGAATGCCAGGAAGTTCCACTGTCAAGATGAGCATACCTTTGATTTATTAGTAACGTGGGGGATACTCTTGCCAGCTGTGAAGCAAATGACCAAAGATAGCCCCCAACAAAATGGGTGAGTTCATTTGCGAATGAAAAACTAAGGATGTTTACGGTAGTAAATTTTCCTCTGCTTGGGTCGATAAAGAGTTAACAAAGAAAAATAATTATTTTCGCATATAGAGTACTTTATTCTCTTTAAAATATTGAAAAGAAGTTTAAAAAATTATATAAATTAAAATAAATAAATAAATAAAAATTATCCGAAATTTATCCGTTTATTAGCTATTAATCGCTATTTCCCAAAGAAAAATAGTTTTTTTTTTCTTCTAATACGACTTTTGTCCCTTTTTCAGCCATTATTCGCTCTTTAACCTAGAAAAATAACTCTTTTCACATATAGAATACTTTATTCTCTTTAAAATATTGAAAAGAAGTTTAAAGAATAATGTCAATTAAAATAAATAAATAAA